TCCCACACATAAAGGTCTATTAAACTAAGACTATCTCCATTTCGGATCTATCTGACAAGTTTCGATCTCGACCGAAAAGTTCGTAGTCGATTTCGAGAAGCATCGGATACTACTCAGATCATAACGTAGCTCTAATATGTAATGAAACTCACTCCCGTTTTTATAGAAAAGGGAGGAACTTCAAAATCAATCGAAGCGTTCTTGAGTTTCTGTTGTTTGTGTGGGTGTGTACAATAATGACGAATATGACAATATAACTGAAATGATGTTAGTGTGTGTAGTTTAAATTGTCTCGTAAGTTGTAAGAAACATGTTCAGTGTCATAATAATTGAACCGAGGACTGATATAGGTTCAAGTAAAGCTGGGTTGCCAACCTTATTAGAGACTAGGCTTTTAGATTATAATGCCAACCTGTCTAGCAGTGAACTTCTTAGACATTTGAAATAATAGCTGTACTCTGTAGCTCTAACTGAATAAGTCAAAATGGTAGCTCTTAACCCTTAATAGGGCATGCTAAAACTATGTATGTCTGAAACTTTTTCATTACAAAAATGTGATTATGTATGTATACAGATGTAGGATTGTATATCACCACATCTGTAGTTATTTTCGTTTTCTCAAAAAAACATGTGGGAAAATATTTCCCTTTGCCCATCTTAAACATTGTCTTTTACTGAATGTGGGAAAATGTTTCCCAGGCGGTGGGAAATATATTTCAGTCACATTAGGTAGTATAGTCTGGTGTGATTTATTCCATGAAATATTTACAAGTAAATAAAATACTGTAATGAAAGTTAAGTATCTTTATTGGGTGTGAAAGTTATAGAAACAAGGCGCAGCGCACAATGGCACTTTACAAACTTTACATATATATTTCGTTCTTTGTTCTTTAGCTCGCGTGCTGCACATCCTGCACCTTCTAAATTTTGCTAATTGAGGCATGTGGGAGCCAACATCTGATGTTCGCACCTCTTCAGGTACTGAGTTTGCACCTCCTTTTTTGGTCTTGAAGACTGGGGCTTGACATTTTCGAGATGAAAAATTGTTTATGAGGCCCCTGCCTAAACGTAAGCGAAAGTCTTTATGTGTGTTTCTCCTTGTTGAATGAGACATCATATAAACAATGTATGCATTTATAACTGCAGCCTCGAGCAGGAACCAGAAGAGTCGGTGCCAATTCTTGCGAGATTTACGACCAAGAGGATATGACGCCCTGTAGTGATCAAAATGATCTACTCCACCCATGAATTGGGTATATTTTGTTATGGAAAGTGGGCAAAACATTGGCTTCTTGCTACCATCTTTCTGTTTCCTCCATATTAGTTCAACTGCTCGTGGATCAAATGCAGAGCTTGCAACGAAAACATCCTTGGTATCCCTCCATTTCACCACTGATATTGGTGCAGCACATTGGTATATAAACTCTCCAGGTTTCAAAGACGTTTCCTTTTTTTCTTCTCTATTTAAATTTCTCCCTGTTATCAAATCTGGTAAGCCTTTCCGTTATTCTAATTGTTCCAACACTGTAAATATCTTTCTCATGTAAAATTTCCATCAAAGGAAGACTGGTAAAGAAATTGTCAAACACAACAAGTGTATTACCTGGCAAAGATTCACACAGGTCCATCACTACTCTGGCCCCTAAATTCTCCTCTGTTCCATTATCAATCCTTCCAGTATAAAACTGAAATTCATACATATAACCTGTACGGGAATCAGCCCTCACCCAACATTTGTATCCACGTTTAATGGGCTTTTTAGGCATGTATTGTTTCATATGACTACGGCCTTTAAACCTTATCATACTTTCATCAATTGAATTAAATTCAGAGACTTTTACATTTTCCTTAAAAGTTTTGTTCAGAACTTCAATAGCAGGTCTAATTTTCGACAATTTATCATAATTTGGGGTGTTTTGTGAAGCTTCAGTAATAATGTTTGATATGTGAAGGTTTTGTGTTATTTTTTTGAATCTTTTTAATGGCATAGGTTTGCTTATGACTGGGTTTCTGTAAAATTCATCTGTCGACCAATATGTAGTTATATCGGACAAGGGATTTATACTCATCAGTATAATCATACCAAAGTATGCTTTTATCTCTTCTTTCGTAACATTTTTCCAAGATTTAGCATTTTTGTGATGTGCATAAATATTTGTGTTCTCAACTATTACATCAATCAAGTCTTCTGGAAAATAATCAATGAAATAATCAAGCGGTTGACTTCGGTTAGTGTATAGTTTCTTAACTTGCATTTCTCTGTGAAAACTAGGCCAATTAATATTCTCAGCTGTAAAAGACCAATTTCTTGCCTTATTTTGTAACTGACTAAATGTATCTCTACAAAAAACTGATTTTGGTTCAGGATGATTTTGTTCACCTGGCAAAGAATTGTTTGGTATTGAAGCAGTGCCTGCTTGGACTTCATTCAATGGTAATGAAGAAGGGCCTGCTTGTCTTTCATCCAATGGTAATGAAGAAGGGCCGGCTTGTCTTTCTAAAGCTATCAAAGGAGTACCTGCTTGAGATTCTACCATTGTAACATCTTGTGGTATTGAACCAATATTTACCATTGTTTCTGGACAGTAAACTCTTGAATTGTGATACTTTCTTGGACTTGTTGTTCATGTGATACTGGTGAAGTAATATGTGTTTCATCTTGTATTGACGAAAAATCAGACTCACCCAACAGTATACTATGTAAACCTTCAGTCGTTAGATTTTGAATTTCGTCCAACCGTCGGTCGTAATCCACCGAGTAAAAATCTGTGGCACAAGAATCAAATACATCATCATCAAACCCTTCTTCTTCCGATGAAAACAAGGCAGCCAATTGACCTTCAATTTCCGAATCTTTAAGAGGTTTCTGAAAAGTAAAACGCACAAAATGGATATCGAAAATAGTACATTTGTTACAGGGAAACAGTTTCCCACTTGGTTTTTACATACGCGAACCTAAACGGGCAACATGAAAATATTTCCCACACATTTTCAACGCCTAAAACTCAAGTATCAATTGTTTATTTGGCTTATAAAAATGATAAACAAGTAAACTAACTCAAAACCTAATGAAAATTATTTGAAATAAACACTTACCGAATTTTTTCTCGACATTATTACAATAATTGTGCAAACAACCGGTAAACATCAGCAAATTCATTGACGATCTTGCCAACTTTGACTTTGACAGATGTTTTTTTTTTCTGCGTTCCATTTTACGGTGTGCGTTTGGCACAGACCATAAATTACTTATTAAAAAAAAAGTAGAAGTGACATTTTGTGGGAACAGTTTACTTATTGACCGTTCACAACACGAAATATTATGTGGGAATAATATTCCTCTTGCCCAATTAAGGGTTAAGCAAAGAAGTTTATGTAACATTTTTAGTTATTCGATGTGGCAGCCCCAGCGTCGACATAAGGTGTGATTCCACCAGTTTTTTTCTAACAATGTGGAGTGAACAATTTCATTGTATTTATATAGTTATTAATAAAATGTTGTAAATAAAGAAGTTGTCGTGACTCGTGGTATTTCATTTGCGTGTGTTTTAATTAATGTATTTTTTTTGAAACGCCACCATCTAATTTTACCCAATAGCTATGATTCCTGCACGGAAAAACAATTTTATGTTATCCAAATTTTACGTAACAAAACAATGTTATTAATTTAAACAGACTGCAATCCTTGTCCAATGCTAGGACTTTTCCCGTGTATTCAGTGGATACATTTACAAACATACAACATTCGGAACCAGTATCACTGGTTATGATCCACAAAAGTGCGGGAATCAAATCCAATTACCAAGACACTGCTCCAACCACAGAACATATAAAGAAGATTTACAATATGTTCTGTGGCTCCAACCGTGCAGCCTTGCAGCCACAGTCAATTCAGTGCAGGAAAAGTAAAGTACATTAATGTACCTTAGCTCTTCAAATAGACGTGATCTTGGTTATAAGTGTTCATACAGTATATTTTTATTTCAAAAATGATTGCGTTTTTATATAAGATTAGCAATGATTATATACTTGTGCTACCATCTGTTGTCATTTTGTCACTGAACTACTATCAATCCGAGAATGCTGAACGACCATATTATAATACGTATAAAATTGAAGGGTTTGTTTGTTTGGATGTTCTAATCGGAAGTACTGATCAGATTTGAATAATTATTCTTGTGATGGATAAAGCATTTATCGAGTGAATTTATTGTTATGTTTTCAGCTTACTCACGTAATTATTTGACGAGGAACTCGACTAGTTTCAAGCCATGCTAGAGGCTCATATTCATAAGCAGCATTTCGCGACCTGCGACGCGGCGACTGTCACGCTGCTACTCGAGTTCCTCTTCAAATAGTTACGTGAATAAGCCGAAAACATAATAATTAATTTATTAAGAACTTGAATATTGTAAAAAAAAGTGCACATAAGCAGACGTGTGTCAGTTATAAGTTTCATTCATGTGTTAACAGGAGCCCGGCGTGTTACGACGTAAATTACTCAGAATTAGCTATATGAATGCTATGTACAAGTTTTCCTAGTTTATTATTATTTTATTGTTTGTGTCAAATTCTAAATAAATAATAATTACTGTAGTTTGAAATAGGTAGTGAAAATATAAAATGAAATGGCTGAGTAAGTATAAAACAATATAATAAGCACAACGTCATTCATAAGTCATAACCCATCCAGTAGCATTCTTGTGTGTGCGAAACACTGGAGTATAAAATCCAGTTTTAATTTTTTTTTACTCTCAGATGCCAAAAGACTCCTAATGAAACCTGCGTAAGTTTTCACTATTGTCTATGAACAACTTGCATGACATAGACAATCCGGATCATATAAAAGTCACTATTTGACATTTCATTCTGAAAATAAACATTTCACTAATTTTGCTTGGTGTGTCTTCGTACATTTCATAAAACGGTTTACTAGGTACTAGATAAAAGTAGTAAATTAAATAATTGAATACTGCATGTTAAACTGAAAGTTGCAACCGATGTCACAATCTTCACTAACTCGACAATCTCAACATAGTAATTTAGGACCGAAAGAAGAACAACCTACGTCCAAGATACCTGAATCCGTAAGAGTTAGTATTGTTTCTTTTGCCTAGCAACGAGAAATAATTTTATTTACATAAAAAACAATATGACAAATCAATAATATAACTACATCAAACGTTTGTGATTTCAGAAAATCATAGCTATGGAAAAAGAGAACGAGTCAAACGCCAACCGAAAATCCAGGATTGACTTAAATGCGCTTCCTACTCGCCAGTACCTGGACCAGACTGTGGTGCCAATTTTACTGCAGGGTCTGTCTGCATTAGCTAAGGAAAGGCCTCCAGATCCCATCGACTACTTGGCGGCGTATTTACTGAAGAATAAGACCACCTTTGAGAGCAACACCTCGGCGAGTAACAACCCGACGGCCAACCCGCAACCATAATATCTCCACAAGTTGTACGGCACAAGTATACTGTACAGTAATAATGTGCATATTGTAATAGATTTAAAATTTTCTTTTTCATCGTTGTGACAAAGACTCTTTCATCTATAAATATGGCAATAATAAAATTTTCCTACTTAATAGACATAGCTAGTGATAGTTCTAAGTTATAGCAGTTAGTTACTGGATTGTTGGATACAGCAGGACTCTGTGGGACTGGAACTAAGTTGTGAACTACTTAATAGCATATTGCTAGTCAATTACTTGCTCAAGTGACCTGGCTGCTAGTGAACTACATTAAATTTGTGTTTCATAGTTGTGTGGAACTGGAATTCCGAACTAACAAATTTGATTCCAAAGTTGTTACAGTTACAGAAATATTATAGCTTTTTGATAACAACTTTATGCATGTTATTACAGTTTTACTAACGTCCAATTTCAATAACCTATCTATCTTCAGATTTGCTTACTAGAGATATGTTGACACATTTTGTATGGAGCTTATGTCAAAATTCTATCTCTAGTAAGCAAATCTACAGATAGATAGGTTATTGAAACTGGCTGATAGTCTTATAATACAGCAGTGTATATACACCAGCCTTATACAATTAGATCTTAACGATAAAATAATCATTCATTTCTCAATGATGGCACAAGATAAGTTGAATGTAGAAGTAATTTTATTTTGCTATTTAAATTAAAATAATCTAAGACTTAAAAAAATTGCAATTTATTATTAAAACTTCCTTTTATTTAAAATAACTGTTTGTTTATTATTATTTGATGGAGGATATGAAAAACATTGTAAAGTATATTTTGAAGAACGGTAGCTTTCACTGGACGGACGGACTTAAGACAATAATTAAACATGAGCATAAAAATTGTAAATTGTATGACAAAAGCGCACCAAGAGTCCACACAAAACTATTACTATGAACACTGAAAAAACAGGACCATAATAAATTAACTTATTTAAAAATCACACTCAAAACTATCAATGAAACTACTTTTGATTGTAGGATACTTTATTATTTAGACAGTAATTAGTCATAAACTAATTTACAACTGAGAATCGTCTTTAGTTCAAAATATACTTAAAAATATTTCATCTGCAATTAACAAGATAGAACAAATACATACAAAATAAATCTCTACATTTATTCAAATAAAACATACATTCCATTGAATCTCAAAGAACCAAGACCGTACATGAAACATTAAACTTCAAGCCTTTTCTGGTTCCTTTTGTTCAGTTTCTTCAAGGAACTGTTGTCTATGTAGAAGCCAGGAATCATTGTCATCACCTCCTTCGTCTTCTGGTGATATCGAAGGTTGATCGAACTGTAATTCATCTGTTATAACGCAGCTCTCGTCAGTAAGAGAAGGCACCGAGTCGTGGACTGGCAGAGGGACTGGCTCCTGTGGTAGAAACTCAGCCATGTACGCTGTTACGTTTCGTGCACGCCACATTGCGACTTTACCTGGAAATTAAAAGATATGTTTGTTTTACAAGTTAACCAGATCTTTTTACAATTTTCTTCTTTGAACTGCCTCGTTGGCCGATTGGTCGCAAGTGCGATTGCCGGGGATGGGGTCTCGGGTTCGATTCCCGGGTCGGGCAAAGTATTACTGGGTTTTTAAAAAAAATCTCAGTAGCAGCACGTAATCTGGAAATGTGCCCGGTATATGGCAATAGGCTCACCCCTATAACCCACATAAACAGTGAAAGTGGGTGTTCTGTGTGCACCTCTGCCTACCCCTTCGGGGATAAAAGGCGTGATGTTATGTAAATTATGTATTTGACTGCACCTTAAGGCACAGCAGTTGTATGACTGGCTGCTGTACAAAGTTATAGGTTCAATACTTGCATCTCTGTGTAATCCATAAACTTTTGCTACGAGTCTGGTTGTAATGAATATGTGAAGGGTACGATACGATTTGGTTGAAATACGTAGGGGTTTTGTCAAGTAAGTATTCTACGTCTATGGCCTTATTAGCTCTCAAAAGAAAAAAATGTGTCGAAATATACAAACTGTAAAAGCTCATAGCTGTAGGTGCAATCAAATAGTAGGTAATATCCACTAAATAAAAATTGCATTTCTTGACATACTTAAGAAATTAGATGGCTAGACATTTAATCCCGTTTTGCTACAATTATTTCGAGGTCTCTATAGGACAATGACCCGAGCGACGAAATAAAACCTGTAGAAACTTGCTTGCATTTACATAAATAAGTAGATAATACCTACATACCTAACTAATTGGCAGAGATTCAACTTAAATAAAAAGCTAAAACACCTCTTTTCTTCATTATATTGCAGGGGGTCTTATCCTTTTACCTACTTTGCCTAAGTACCTATATTACATTTGACTGATTGATATCTGTCCAGTGTCCTCTCACCTGCTGTCTCGTCGAATTCTTCAGGTTCCTCTTCTTCCACTCTCTCATCCTTAACATCTTTTTCTTCTTTCTCCTCTTCGCCTTCACCGAATTCTAAAGTAGCTGGATCCTTGAGTAGCAGATAGAATCCATGTTGCATGCAATTCGTATCGAAAACGAAACAACCAGGACCTTTGGGCTTTCCTTTTAGCCAAGAGCCATGGTAGCGGTAACGAGGATAGATAATTTGACCGGGACCTTGTATCGTTCCTTCAACCCAAGTGCCCATGAATTTAATTTGGTATTCTGCGAAGAAGTAGGTACCTAGGCCGTGACGTTTGCCCTTAAACCAGGCGCCCTCGTAAATGTCTCCGTTTGGGTAATAGTAGGCTCCGAATCCTTGCTTCACGTCGTGTCTCCAGTCTCCCTCGTAACGCGAGCCGTCTGGGTACACCATGCGCCCAACTCCATATTTCATGGCCCGGCGCCACTCCCCTGAAAGCATTTAATGTGATATCATTACTTACATGAAGGCGAAGGTGAAGGTTTATGATGATGGGACAGGTATGAGGGTTTTCTTGATCTAGATTTTATTTAGTATCTAGAATGTAGAAGTATATTACGAGGGTAGATGTGAAATAAAATGCTCTAATCTATGGAATTAGAGACTCACCTTCATATCGGGCGGCATTTTTGAACACGTATAATCCCTTCCCGTTCCTCTGTCCCCTGCAGTAGCATCCTGTATAATAATCCCCATTGGGCAGGTGTGCCCAACCCTCTCCGTGCCTGTCGCCCTCAGCGTTCCTCTTTCCTACGTACACCTAGACATCCTTTCAAAATTAGTAACTGGAAATCAAGTTCTTTTAGCTTTTATTGAGTAGGAACCTAGTCAGGTAACTTAAATACCTACTTGTATATTTGCAACGCAGTTAATTGATAAATGAAACCTTTGGAGTATCAAGTAAAACCGCAATGGTTTGTAACCTATAGAAACAAGAAGCTTAGCTGTTCACTCGCTTTGTAAACTTTAATGTTAATATGATAGCAGAAGGCTAAATCTAGCTACATTTAACACTATAGGTACAACATTTTCTTCCAGGCTCTGAAGAGTTCTATGAGTCTTTCACTCTGAAATTTTCTAGCGCCTCAGTTAGATAATTTAGATTACCCCGATTGTATCAACATCCTCTGGTTCTTCACCTTTGGCTTCATCAGCCATTGTTACACAAACTAAGTAATTATTTGCAAATAATTCCAAAAAAGTAAATTCCTAACTGTTGACAAACAAATAGGCAATAAATTGACATTCGTAAAATGCCATCAAAACAAAAACAAAGTGCAGCAAAAAGGATGAATAAATTATTTCAATACATTCAATTATTATCTGTGCCCCGCCCTCACTTAAGTGTGAGAAAGAGAAAATAATTAAAACCAAAGAATAAAAATAAACAGAAATAGCTTTATTTCTCGCACACCCATGTCTGAATAAATTAATAACACACTACATTTATAATCAAAACTGAAGCAAGCTATGCAAATGGAACGAGTTGAGTGAGCTGGAATAACATAACTATGAAATACGAACTGTTCTTGCATGTGAATCAATGGCTGACTAGACTCTAAGCAATATTACAATTCTAGCTTCCATGTACCTACCTAAGCTAACAGCGAATAAATGTCAATTCAATGAAAACTTAATATTTATCAACAAAATGTAGGACAAGTTAAATGCATTTAGAAGCTGATCTTTCCTTTATTCCAGCTCACAGGAAAATCACAGACAATTATATCAATGTATAGCCTCATAATTTACCAATTTCTCAAATATTTTCCATAAAATTTATAATTATTTTTAACAATTTTATGTCTAACAATAAAATAGTGTAAGTAGGTAGGTAGGAGCAGCTTTATTATGCTACACATACATTTTTATAAGAAAAATAATTGTACTTAAGTAGTGTTGGTATTCTACCTACATTTTTCTACACTATTTATGTTATTTTTTTTAAATTTTATAAGCAAGAAAAATAAGGCAACACTTTGTCTAAGTAAAGATTAACAGCATATCTAAACCTAACAGCTTACATATAAAATTCATAAAGTAATTTTGTACTTTTCGGTTTCCCGCTACATTATTTAGTCGTGGCAAGTTATCATCACACTTTGAAGGGCCTTAACGTCATGTACTTTATAGGTACTTATAAGGTCGACACAGTTCTGCTCTTTAGGTCACGAGACAGCGGACCGACGACCTCAATCAAGTCGGATTCCATCTGCATTTATTTTGAACAACTTTTTATTTACTCGCTCGCCTCCTTCTATCAAACTCACTCTGACACTAATTAGGAAATGTTAACTGTTCATTGTTTATGTTATGTTCTAGCGCGGCGGAGCCTGCGGCGGCGCGTCTTCTAGTTTACCCCATACCACGTTACACATTTCACGCACTAGAGCCTGTTCTCCAGAGTCTAGGTCTGGAGCTGGCCTTCTTCTTTCTCGTTCAACACGTTCCCGAACTTCCAGAACCTGGAGAGCTCGTACCACTGCCTCAGGACGTTCGTTACCTCCGTTACCAAGTCCTTTTTCAGCCTCTAATCGCCGAACTTTTTGTTCTAAGTCTCTTACATACTGCACTGTCCGTTCTGCAAGCTGAGGATGTGTGATTGGTATCGCTGGGGCAGGGCGCGAGCCTTCATCGGCATTTGTACCGCTGCTGCTACCATCACCGTCGTCCCTCTCTCTTCCTGCTGCTCTACCACAGTTGACACACGTACTCCTCTCACGTTCTTCATCCAAGTACAAGCATAATTCTTTTAACTCTAAATTGTCACGAATCAATTCTTGCTGCTTGTCGTCCAACTGTCTCAATTTGTTCTGGTAAGCAGACACTTCCTGTCGCATGACAGATGCTGTGTATCTCCCAAATCTTTGCCATTCGCGAGCTAATTTTCTGCCTTTCTGTCTATCATCGTCCAAGAAACAGCACAAGTCTCGAAGTTCCTGGTTATCGTCACTCAACCGGCGATTAGCTTCTTTTAACGCTTTTATTTGTGCTAATAGCGCTTGAATCTGTCGTTTCTGATCGGTTGATGCTCGAGGTCCTTCAGGTTCGACACGTTTTGTAAACTTAAGCATGTCAGCTGACCTTCTATGAATCTGTTCCTCTTCAATATTACGTTGTGCTCGTTGGATGTCGTCTGCACTTCTGGCTCGTGCAGTTGGTTCCACTGGTTCATGCACAACAGCTTTTGTCACCACCTCGGCCGAAGGCCGTGGCATACGTAGGGCTCCTGATGGTTGGGGATATCCTGGAGGATAGCCTTGAGGATATTTTAAAAACTGGATAGATCCTCCACTGTAAGAAGCTGGGACAGCACCATGTGCCAGTATAGGATATTGTAATTTACTGGGATCAATAGGTTTGCCTGCGTATGGCGGTTTGTACTCCTTGGCGGACGGGTCGATAGTGGCTAGCTTGGGCCCACTCGCGGCTAGAGGAGGCGGGTGATAACGCGGTGGAAAGTTGACCGGTTCCGGGCCCTGTTTACCTAGTTGCTGCTTCTGTTTATTAAATTGGCCTGCGTTCTGATTGATTGACATTGTCGACGGAACCGATTTCGGTTACCAACCTAGTCAATACATCGCTTTGTATGTTGGGAACTCATTTCCAAATCTCAGAGATCACGTAGATACGAGAGACGAGATGAGTTCAACGATTGGTCCTTGAATGAACAGAGGTGGGGAACGCCGCCGGCTGCGTAGGCTGTAGAGCGTGGCATTCGCGCAATTAACTCGACCGTGGTTCTTTGTAATCACAGGAAGCACTTGTAAACACTGATTTCAGACACGGCAAACTGTTTAAAGTTAAAGTTATGATATGAAGAAGTAAACAAAAGTTTGTATGATGTTTTTAAAAAGCAGGTTATGCGTGACCGTATGTACAACGGCACAACGCGGGCGCGCACGGGCGCATGTCTCGGACTGGCCTGGCGGCTCTCAGCTCTACCTGCGCGGAGGCTCTCGCGCGCGGTGTCCCGCTCTAGCGCCGCCATCTCACCTGCGTGCACGCACACAGTCACACCACTCGCTATAATGACGAACAATCATTGACTTCAAGCTGTCTCACACTAAGACGCTTCCTCATAACAACATGTTACCTACAATACAACCGACGTCGATGCGCAGGCGCACCCGCTGGGATTACTCTCAGCTATTCATATCGTTGAATTGCATACCGTTGCATAACAAAAGTGCCTACCTACCTACGTATAACAAAATCGTACAATTATAAAATTATGTCCCACACAACCTGATCAAATTTCCAATACTCGGAATTAAGATAACTCTATACAAGTACCAAGGCTTGTATGCGTAATGAAACGCTTAAATCACAGTTTTCGAAAGGCCATTCAGCAAGCATTGCAATAACATTGAGGAGATCATGATTTGTCGAGGTCAAAACTAGTTACGAGTTACGTAGATGCAAAAACTAGAGTCCATTAATGCAAGCGCCTATCATAGTTAAATAGCAATATGCTCAGCGATAACTGTTAGAAAACTAAAACTGTTAGGCGATAATATAGCCATTTTCAACCGACTTCAAAAAAGGAGGTTTTCAATTCGACTGTATTTTTTTATGTTTGTTACTCGATTACTCGAACACGTCTGGACCGATTTCAAAAATCCTTTTTTTATTTGAAAGGGTAGGCTTGTCATTTGGTTCCATTGTCATGAAGTCAGGATCTGATGATGGAATCCTAGAGGAACAGAGGAGAACTTTTAAAAATTATAGGGGCGACTAGTGCATTTGTTAATTTATTCGTTAAGTATTTAAAACCACTACAATCTGATAAAGGTATGTAGTTAATCTGATGATGGAGCCAGTCGAGAGAACTCCTCAACTATTAACAGTAGCTACATTGTGTTTGGGTTTGATTAATTTGTTTTGATGAAGACTCTATACCTAGGTGGTATTTCATTGCCAATAAGCGTCTGATGATGAAGTAGTACGATAGTTAAGGGAACTCCTCAGCGGTTAACAGTAGCTACATTGTGTTTGGGTTTGATTAATTTGTATTGATGAGGACTTCACCTAGGTGTGGTGTGGTTGTCAATAAGGGTCTGATGATGAAGTAGTACGATAGTTAAGGGAACTCCTCAGCGGTTAACAGTAGCTACATTGTGTTAGGGTTTGATTAATTTGTATTGACGAAGATTCTATACCTAGGTGGTATGTCATTGCCAATAAGGGTCTGATACTGAAGTAGAAGTGTAGAACCATAGTTGAGGGAACTCCTCTACGGTTAACAGTAGCTGTCTTGTGTTTGGGTTTGATTAATTTGTATTGATGAGGACTTCACCTAGGTGTGGTGTGGTTGTCACTAAATGTCTAATGATGAAGTAGTATGATAGCTAAGAGAACAATGGGTAACAGTGGCTACCTGGTGTTTGAGGTTGAATAATTGTACATAAACATATTCTGGTACTAAACTAAAAAGCGTGGGTGTGTAAGCCATATCAATACATGTAATAAGTACGTATGACCAATAATAGTTACTATTTGCTTTTTAGTTTTTACTTTTCGTTTGTTTTTAGTTTTTGTGGTCGGTTTTTTTAGAGATCATATTTTTGCGATATTTATTTAATTAATAGAGATTGCATGAATTTTACGTAAATAATGTTATTTAAGTATATTTGACGTGAATAATAGTTGTTTTGTCGTTCTTTATTTCTTATCTAGACTGCTAGGTTCATGTAGATAGTAGTGCCTGAATGATCTGCTTCTGCGTAAAGCAATGCGGATTCGATAAAGTGTAAATGGATTTTTCTCATTTAAATTACCATTTGTAGAGTAGTGTTTAAACCCCAATGCGTGATAAATTGCGATAAGTCGTCGATTCCTGCCGTCATACAAACTTCTGTGGCCGATATAATTATAAGCACCACCACACATGTCACCACGAATGTAGAATTAATTAATGTGCAACAAATTCCGCTTGGCACAAAATTAAGTACGTAATATTCCGATTTTATATTTTAATAACGCAAAACTCCTAGTTAATGCATAAAAATTTATTAGCACAACTAAAATTACTAGGGATGTAGATGGGATCGCGCGTGCGTGTGCGCGTGCCCATCAGTTCACAAGTCAAGTTCACCCATTTCACTCGCTCATTACTATTCAATACGTGTAATTTGGCAACTCACAACTGTATGCAAAGTGTACGGGGGTAAGCAGTGCCCCCACTGCCAGTAGCCGTCAGTAGCTCAGTACTTCGCTCAGTGCCCAGCAAGGATGGCGCGCGACCGTGCTCGTGCGCAAGTCACCTGCATCGCAACCGCCACCCTACTCCTCGCGCAAGGTACGTTAACATGTGTGGTGCTTGCAAAACGTTTATTCGGTTTTTGTTATTTATAAATATGTTAGCCTAGTTTAGCAGTTTCGAAGCAGCTGTTGGTAAATAAGTACCTACCTATTTAGCAATTTTTTATTAAGATTTCAATATTTTTTTCAACGATAACAGTGAATTTTAGAGTGTGAAAAATGCATCTATCTATGTTTTTGGTAAAATTAATTTTCTGTAAATTGGTCCAATGATTTATGCGCGTTCCATGCATGCATATGGTATCTATAATATTTAGATATCCACATCAAAAAAAACATTCATAATAACAAACAGCAAATAAGTCTTTAGGTAAGTACCTACTCCAACTTGCGTGCAAAGAAAGCATACACACTTGCCATAATTACTAAGGTGTTTCATCAATAGAAATTACTGTTCCTGCTTGCAAGTGACATAAATGCACTTACTGTGATACACGATCACACTTGCCCAATCAACAATCTGTTCCCTTTCGTTAATATTACACATTAAGTATGTATTTATTTGTCGTGTGGTGACGGGATGGCAGAGCAGAGTAAACTTGTCACCACCCCTGCTCTTTCCCTGGGTATCGTTAGAGCCCCCAAAGGGCACACTACTCATATAACAGGAGCACTCTTTGTGAACCGTATAAGCAGGCATTTTATCTTCAACCCGTTTGCCAAACAAAAAGACTATATGGTAAAGCTATAGAATTATTGTAAATCTATGGGTAAAGCCTTCTTAAGAGGATGCCGTGCACAGTCCAGTGGACTGTCACGAGTTATTGCTTACGACATATTTTCCCAAGTAGGTACTGATATAATCTTCGTCTAATACTCTCTTGATTCTCTCCATTCATTACTCAAATCGTGATTTGCAATATCTCCATAGGGGTGGTAAATTCAAAGACGTGTTGCTGCCAATAAGTCTGATTTATTATTGCCAAATTTCCTTATATTCAATAACCATACAACACTAAAGTACTTAAAACTATTCGCTGATTAAGCGCAACGTACCTTATTGTTTCTCAATCAACCTTGAGTTACAAAGATGTTCTTATGTCCTTACACGTCCCTCGAAAAAGTGGGGCTTCACCCCTTCCCTCAGGGAGAAAAAAAAAAATGTTGATCGATACTGCAATAAGTTACTTTGTAAAATATATTTTTTTTTTTTTATCTTTCCTTTATAACATATAATTCAAATAATTTACTTAATCGTAAAACATCTTAGTTAAGTTCTTATGAATAACATATTCTTTATTATTCTTTATTATTTTTACATTAGGTGAAATGTCTTCTATAACCTCATACGGTCCAATATAAATATTATCTAATTTTGTACCTGTTTGATTTTTTATTAAAATAAGATCACCTTTTTTATAATGGATAGGAGACGAGTTTTTATCGTAAATATTTTTCCTTAAAAGTTTACATTGTAAAAGATTATTCCTTGCATTACAATGAGCTTTTTGTAGCCTATATTTAAGTTCTAAGGGATAGCTATCAAAATTATACAATGGATCAAAACTACTTTGTAAGTTACTTGGCAGATTACATAATTTTCCGAATACTAATTCATATGGAGTGTACTTTGTTGCTGAATGTACTGTGGTATTATACGAAAAACACCAAAAGTGTACCCAGTCAGACCAATCGCCTTTATTATTATTCCATTGTATTCTAAGAAAAGCACCTAAATGCTTATGTGAGTTTTCAAGGGATCCTAAAGTTTCATGGTGATATGGTGTTGAATTTAATTTTTGAATTCCTAATATTTGACAACATTCTTTTAAAACTGACGACATAAACTCACTGCCGTTGTCTGTTAAAATTTCTCGTGGTATACCATATCGTAGGATAAAATTATTTACGAACGTCCTAGATACTGTAACAGTATCCTTATGTTGAATAGGGTACGCTTCAACAAACTTAGACAAATCACACTGAATGGTCAAAATATACTTATTATTATAATTATCTACATCTAGGGGGCCCATTAAATCTAAAGTTATCCTCTCAAAAGCTGAACTAGGCGTAGATGTTACAGTCATTGGTTCCTTAACATTTTTATTAGTATGCTTTTGTAGTTGACAACTTTTACATTTTTTTACATACCTTATTACGTCACTACACATACCTGGCCAGAAATAGTATCTTTTCATATTACTGAGCATACGATTCATACCCGCATGGCCACTGCTGGGTAATAAATGAAAATCATTTAAAATAACTTTCTTTTTGTTATCATCACATATTTTTGTAACACCTTTTATTACAAGAAAACGAGGTAAATTAACTTGCAAGTTCTTTGTTTTACTCAATAAGACTTTAATAAAGTTGTCAGTCTTTTTATTCTTTATAATTATTAATTCTTTTATTTTTAATTGTTCACATAATTCACCTAAATCCCTCGCTAACACCTGTGGGGTCGATAACGATCGGGAGTTTAGATATATCGCAGATTGCGATAGAACAAATATGCAATATTTTTTATTTGAACCGACATTCTCTTTATCATTTAAAATATTATGAAACTTAATTTCATCGCATAAAACGAGCTCGATTACGTCATCAGGTTTCTTAAGAATCTCCACCGCTACAGGTTGATCAGACCTATTTACCGCGGGGCTCTCATAAGTCTGGTCATTGTCATTATTTAGCGCTAAATTTTTCTTTTGTTGTCTAGTTAAGACGTTGACAACATGTTCTTGCATATCTTTAAGATCTTTGCATGTTACAGGAATCCGACTCAATGCGTCTGCAGCCGCATTGCTTCGACCCGGAACATACTCAACCTCAAAGTCATACTCCTCTAAATATAAACGGAATTTTGTTAATCGACTTGATGGATCCTTTAAACTAAATAAATAAATGAGTGGTTTGTGATCAGTATAAATTTTAAATTTTCTACCATATAAATAAGGTCTAAAATGTTTGATTGCCCAAACAATGGCTAGTAATTCCAATTCAATCACAGGATACCTAGTCTCGGCTGGTTTCAAATTTCGACTTGCATAAGCAACTACTTTACCATTTTCATTTGATAGTATTGCTCCTAGACCAATTTTTGAGGCATCGGTTTGCAATTTAAACATGTTATTTTCTGAAAAATTTGGATATTCTAATACTGGTGGATTCATAAGTGCTTTCTTTAAACTCTCAAATGCTGACTGACATTCCGATGTCCAATCAAACTTTACACCTTTTTTACATAAAACATTTAATGGATAAACAATGGAAGCAAAACCTGATATGAAGCGTCTGTAATAATTTGCAAACGCAACAAAACGTTTCACATCTTCAGCACATACAGGTGTTGGAAAATTTCGCAATACTTCAATCTTTGCTGGATCGGGGAAAATTCCACTCGATGTTATTTTATGGCCCAAATAAACAATTTCGTGTCTCAAAAATTCACATTTAATAGGGTTTAGTTTAAGATTTACTTCTCGTAGTCTATTCAATACACTTATGAGATTTTTGTTGTGACTTGATAACGAGTTTCCTATCACAATACAGTCATCCAGATAAATAAAACATTTTTTATAGTTAAGGCCCGCCATTGCAATTGTCATGAGCCTTGAAAATACGCTTGGACTGGTTTTGAGTCCCATTGGACAACGTTTCATTTGATACTGTTTTCCTGCTGAAAAAGCAGTGCATTTACGTGAATCCTGGTCCAGAGAAAGCTGATACATTTTATTGACACTAAATGAAGTATATTTTCGAGAATTATCACTAAGAGAAAGTTGGTAATAACTTTGTGAAAGGTCTAATTTTGAAAAATATATACTCCCTGAAAGTGAATCTAAAATTTCAGTTATATTAGGTAATGGAAACTTGTCATCCTGTATTTTATTATTCAACTGTCGGTAATCAACGACAAGCCTCCATTTCTTTTCATTAGATTTATCTGCTTTCTTTGGAACCAACAATATTGGACTCGACCACTCCGATGTTGTTTCCTCAATAATATCGTTTTCCAACATATCTTGAATTTGCTTTTCTACCTCGTGCTTAAGAGCATGGGGAATTCTATACGGTTTCTGATAGATAGGGGCTACATTATCCTTCAATTTAATAGTATGTTCCATTAAATTTGTGACTGATAATTTATCCCCTGGCAAATGAAACACATCTGCATATTTTGCACATATGTTTTCTATGTTAATTTGCTCTTCCTTATTTAGATAACTGACATCGAGCAAATTAAATAGTGTTTTAACACGTTCTACACTTTTACTCTCCGAAGTAAACTCACATACGTCATAATCGTTCAGAGAATAAACACCTATGTCAGATACATCTATCTGTATTTCCGTATTCCTTGTATTTAATATTCTAACAGGGATATGATTATTGCTAGGTTTTGCCAGTAAACCTGCAACAAAGACCCCTTCATGGATCTCCTTGGCCAATACGACTGTATCCTCACGATAAGCGCAAGGAATATAACTAATTACCTCACAACGTGGTGGGATTGTGCGAGTATACCTATTGTCAGGTTCAATACTCAAGTTAACCTTCTGGTCATTATGAGTTAAACATAAAGTCATTGTTTTATAATTAATTATTCCTCTATAATGCTTAAAAAAATTATCACCTAATATTCCATCAGCGGAACACCACAAGTTCTTAAAAACATAAAATTTTTGATTAAAAACTATACCATCGCAAACTAAATCTAAATAAAGAAACCCTTCAGAAATTAATGTTCCACTTACACCTTTTATTGTTAACCTATCATACTGAAGCTTATTTAATAGTTCCGTATAGTTAGACAACCATTCATATTTTAAAATACATAAACTAGCTCCCGTATCTACTAATAAATGAGCTAAGCCTCCATAATTTACGTTAATTAGTATTACGCTACTATTATTGTAATTAAAAATATTTGTTCATTAGTTTGTCGAACGAAAAAACTCATTGTTCGATGAGTTGCCGGTATTTGATTGCGAAATTTGTTCATTGTGTGGTCCGTCCGAAAAGTGATGCGCGTTGCTGACACGTGTGCGCGTTACCGAGAATCCGCGCCCCCGTGCTGTACCTCGGTAGGTTCCGCGAATATTACGATTACTTTTGTAATAAGTCACGGGTAATGTATTATTGAAATGCCTATAATTAAAATTAGATTGAGAAGGCTGATTCCGGTTTTGAAAATAATTTCTAGTCCCACGATGTTTGTTTGTAAAGCTACGTCTATTACCACGATCATTCTGGAAGCGTCTAACATTCATAACTGGGTTATTATCAGGAGAAAGCGTTTGTTCATCTACTGCTGCCCTAATCGCCTCAGGCAACGACTCAAATTGTCGAGAAGCCACAATCGTACTTAGACGGGGGTCACTTAGACCATCTGAAAAACGCTTTATTGCGATTTTTTCGTTGATCGGTCGCAATACACCAAACTTAGTATCGTCCCCATCGGCTTGAGCAATTGTCAAGTCAACGAAAAGTGTTTCGAGCACGTTACCATAATTTTCTATTGACCTATGTCCCTGTTTCGTAGTCGAAAGCTGCGATTGTATAGCTACTGCTGATTTTTTCTGAATAAGATGCTTACGCATGTCACTAACCAAACTTTCAACATTTCCGTACGTAGATTTTAGACGTAATTTGGCTCCTTCCGATAACCGAGTTTTAAGAACAAATTCAATTAATTGATTTTTTGTGTTATCAGTTATCATCGAAGCATACAATTGTATGCCGTCGATCAGTTGCAAGGTCACTTGCTCTTTACCCGTCATAACTGGTAATAAAGCTATGGCTGTTTTCAGGTTAAAAGATTCGTCTGCCATTTTTATCGACGACGACTCTGTACTAACAGTAATTAGATTTAAAATTTTTGAATAACATATACGTATTTCGGTAACTATAGAATTTATAGTCTTTAAGGTTTCTGGACTTAGCTCTGAACATTCAGATTTTTTATTAATTTCAGACAAAATACACTCCAGTCTAGTATATTCAGCATGAGCTAACGATATCTTACACTGGGCTGTGTCGGAACTTTGTCTCCGAAGTGGACCGATTTTAACTAAATAGTCTCTTATATCTCTTAAATTATTACGAATTGAAGTTATATCTGTTAACTGCATAATAACATCAAGAATTACATTATATCCTTACATTATATCCAGTTAGTTATTTATACAAAATTTAGTGCTTATACATGCTTATTTATAGAACCTATAGAATTTATAGTGAAATTTAAACAGTTAAAGATTATATTATAGGATACATTGCCTTAGTTATTCCTTAGTAAGACGAGCCAGCGCGATGGAGTCACGGAGTAAGAAGCGCGATGACGCAGCTCGAAGTGGGGACTCATGCATGCCGGAACTGTGTGTTGGGCCGGGCTATACCCTGGACTCCTTGGGCCGGGATTTCCCTGGACTCCGCTCCTTCTCTTCGAATTATACTGGTTCGTGTCGTGAGACGGCACTAAAATTGTGTGCGTTGAGTTCTCGTCTCAATGTTTTTACAGCAGCATTTTGGCATTTCTTTAGGATGAAGTAAATGCCAGCGGTAGATAGTATTACCACTACTACTATTAATAGTACTTCAGCGACAGTAAGAGCATCCCTTGACTGATGAGCAGATGCATTCGCTTCACCGTTGGCGTTTTGCGCGACGACAACCTCCTCCTTTGAATAAGTTTTTCCCATATTATGATCTTGGTATATTTTCTGTCTTCGAGATCTTCTTTGGTTTTTTTTTTTTTTTTTTTTTACTTCAATCTTGAAAAGTAACTTCTTAGTTTGGCTTCATTTTCATTCTTCTAATATAATTTTCTGAGTTCAGTGGCAGGGTCGCCATGCAATATCTCCATAGGGGTGGTAAATTCAAAGACGTGTTGCTGCCAATAAGTCTGATTTATTATTGCCAAATTTCCTTATATTCAATAACCATACAACACTAAAGTACTTAAAACTATTCGCTGATTAAGCGCAACGTACCTTATTGTTTCTCAATCAACCTTGAGTTACAAAGATGTTCTTATGTCCTTACAGATTAATATAGCAATAATGTCATAATACACCATCAAATTCTGCCCTCTATTGCATAATGTGCGTATGAATAAGTAATGTACCGTAATACTACATAGTAGCAGGTATTAGGAGGTATATTTAATAATTAATTGAGTTTCTTAATCACTTTGTTATTCATGAGGAAGTTGATGATTATAATATACTTCATCAACATCATCAACAGCCCCTGACAGTTCTCTGCAGCGAGGATATTCTGTAACTGTCAATTCGAGCTTCTGAAGTGAACCCGACCGCATTATCACCCGTCATTAGTCGAAAACATTCTCACACGGCGATCGAGTTCAATTCTTGAATTTTTTTTTATTATAAATAGTCTAAGTAGTCCGTTCTGCTATCTTTTCTACATAAGATACTCAGCTTTCAGTATTTATTGCTAATTGGTGAACTCCCGCTCAGTTCCTTTCGTGATAGATGACGTGATGGTACCATTTGAGGCAGGTCGTGTGGTCAGAGTTCCATCATTAGGTACCTAATTTAGTTAGATTAAATTATCGAGCCTACTTGAAATGTTTTTAATGCGTGTGAATCTGGAACTAGCGTAAATATCTTAGGAAAATGGAAAATGTCTAACTCAGCAATCGATTTCGCGACTAGGTACACTTTACTTAAGTCAGTATCGAGCATAAACCATTACTTACGAAAATTAAAAAGTTTAATAATGTTTTTTTCTATTTACCCAGCTGTGTTGTCCCAACGACACCCGATCAAGGAGGCTCTCCTGCTGCACAACGATGCGTTCAGTAACGCCACCTTCGAGGACTGTGTGTGGAGACGGGATAAGGAGATTTGTCCCGATCCGGATGTGAACCTACATCTGTATACTGAAGCAGACCCTGTTAAGAATATTGTGAGTACCATGTTTTGTTATACATGCCCATAATGTACATTTTACGAAAAACCAATTATCACCGTTTGATCGATCCACTGAGCATTCGAACCATCCTTCTTTTAATTTCACAAACATATACTTCCCTCAGTCCAATGCTAAGTTTCAAATACAGCATCCAATCCGCAGTTCACATGACTGTTGTCATTGCGAAATGATGAATAAATACGCAGATATGCATATATTATACCAACATATGCCATTGTAGACTCATGTCTGCCTACATTGCAGAGGAAGATTGAAAAAATTATCCGCAAAACACATTGTTGATCATCAAAGTTCCCACAAGTCAATGCATTGCATAGTAAAATCTTACAAGTAGTTACTAAACATCACATTTTTGCAGTGTTTTCAAAACCTTAGTGCTATTGTGAATAAGACACGTTTGCGAGGAATACGACAAATTAATGGTTGTTTCTGGATAAGTGAACAATCTACTGAACAGATTTAGGTCTACTCGTAGCCGACCGATCTTACGGGCTTAAATCCGCTCCCTTTTTAATTAAAGGCGAAAGGACTTACCGCACAAATACAGGCACAAACAAGAGCCATCTTAGAGAGCTGCTAAGAGAAACGAATAATCATTCGATTACCTTTACCTACAGTGTACAGGCAATGTACTTTTGATCTAAAATGCCCGTCTATGGTAATGCTTGAACCGTGCCTGACCCCATAGCCGGTAACCTATTAGCCAAATAGAAACACCCATGCTTAAGTATTACATCACTTCAATAATTACGAATACGCAATTAGTTAATAAGGTAAGGTACCTAAAATTAATTAAGAAGATATTTACTTAAAATCTTTGTCATACTCAATAGTGTAATTGAATTAGGGCAGATGATGTTTCAATGATGTTCTAACACATAGACCATTCATTTATGATTGTAGGTGCCTATTTCGACATTACCATTTCCGTAATATTTGGGATTTTATTTTGGTTTTTTAAATGTACCTAGGTATATTATTGCTTCCATCTTTTCGTCTCACGAGTCACCACAACCAACAAGACAGCGTTGCGTTTATCGTGAAGGATAATTTTTACACGAAAGCATCACATTCTTCATCTTACATTGCTTAACAGTTTGTTGGTACATTGCCCAAGGTTCTACGTTCTAAAACGATATGATTTTTAAATCTAATATCTGACGCAAATATCGATATACTGCGATCGATATATATTGTGTATAGATGTTACTTGAGTGCTACCAGAAAATTGTGGAAAGCAAATCGTGGAGCGATTGCCTTAACAGTTAACGTATTACTTCCATAATATATTACATACATACTAAGTAAGTAAGACCACCCATATATACTAAGTAAGACCACCTTTGGCCATGCCTGCGACAATCGACTGATTAAAAAATATCTTCATTAATTTTTGAATTTAAAATCACTTTTGATAGTTTTAACTAGGTTTGAATACTTGTAAATAATTTAACAGCATGCTTAGTAACACTCAAAAAAGGAGTGTTTATTTACACTCGTGAAACAGCAGGTCAGATGTAGATACTAATGTTCATTAATAACGAAAGCAGTTCACCTTCGTGTTTCATCAGCCGTGACCAAGAGTGCACTAATGCAAATATTGGCATTGTCCATTAAGTTCAGTGGTTAGTGGTCACGAAACGTCTGATTGTACCTTTTTTTATTATCAATTTTCTCTTGCATCCTTTTTTATTGAATGTCCTAGTTACTCCTTTAAGTTAGGTTTTGGAGTAACGCTGAAAATGAGCAGAGACAATGAAACCTGATGCGGTCTAACCCTAAAGAGATAAATAATTTTTTAATGACTCTTATCTCGCAAGTAAAGAGACGGACAAAAATATCCCTCGAGTCCCTACGTCCCCATGTGTGTTGGCTGTTCTATTTCTACTAAAAACACTGAAATATTAATATTCTATTGTTACCACAGGACGGCATGGCACCCGTAACTAAACGAATGATAGTCGCAGGAACTAAATTTCACTTTTCTCATTACGATGTAGCGAATGCGGCATATTCAAGAATGCGTCCGAAATACCGCTACTCGTCCTCGAGGGACTCCTTGGCGGGACTCAATAAGTTATTGCGCTCACACACTTCCCATTCATGGCTGTAGCACTGAATTTACAATAACTATACAAGAATCGTGTTACAAACCTACATTTTACTATTTCGTTGTCCTTGTATCGCAGTGGCTTGCTTTGGTTTACGAGTTCGTACCATTTGTATAGTACTAATGTTGGTTTCACGGTTCGTTGTATTACTGTCATTGTGAGCTCTCGTCTCTGCGACAACTGAAAAATTATCAAGAACGAATGCCCGATCAGTTGAATACCGTGTAGCTATTCTGTAAGATGCCAATTTTCGAAATCAATCGCATACTCGCCCGTCATTAGGGTTCGTACACAAAACTGCCATGCGGCGTCGCATCGCAAAAAGCTGAATCTACATCGTGCATCGCAAGAACTTGCGAATTGATTCACATCGCGCATCAAAATCTTATTTTCCCAAAATCTTCTTTGTTTCTTTTCCCTGTATCTCCTGAGCAATAACAGAAGCGCACACTTTTTTTTACGATCCATGTCACGACCTAGTTTTCAATTTAAAATACGTTTAGTACGGTTGACGGTCGTCGAAGGAATGGTCACCCTGGGAGACACCTTGTCGCCGTGTCGTTTTCGTACTCTCACAACTAATGATATAGCGGACCACGATCAAGCTTATTTCGATCTTTCGTATTGAAAGTTACAGAAGAGCCTAGCCGTGTTGTACTATCTGAAGAAGAAGAAACCATTGCGTAACGATGTTTAAATAAAAAATACATATGTCGTTAAATTTCGATCGACCGATCAGTTCGAATCGTATGAATACCGATTACATTATTACTACATATTTTAAAACACTTCCTCAACTTGAACGGAATGTTGATACCCCTGATTGTGAGTAATCATTATTTTCTTTGAATGCAAATGAAAGAAAATCTTGTCCTTTGTTGATTTTTAAGTAGAGGATTCGTGTAAGCATGCGTTCTGTTACATGAGCACGACAAATCTTACACAACAGAGAATGGTCTAGGAAACGTGCAATAATGGCAATTAATCAAGATTTGTACCTATGGCGTGAGCTGTTCTGTCTTTGTGACTATCTCTTACACTCAATGGCATACCAACTTGCACCTGAGCATTACGTAGGAAGTCTAAAGAGAGAAATAATAAATACTAGAAACGTCTCAGTACAACAATCACGTATATAATCAAAAAGTGTTACACAGGGAGCTATTTTGGGACCAAAATTGAGAACTACGATTTAGTCATATCAAGACATTGAAAATGTTCTATTGCTTTTCAGGTAGACCTAAGCAGCCAAGACTGGTTGCGACAGAGCAGCTGGGACCCAGCTCATGAAAACATTCTCCTGATACATGGCTACGCCGGGGGTGACGATACGTTGCCGATTGTCGTGCTTAGAGATGGTATGAACATGCACATTAAAAACTTCGGGGCGGAATAAATCAAGCTATAACTTTTTTATGTTTACGAAGAAATCAACAAACGATCAAAGAAAGTCCACAATTTAGTATAGAATAATAAATCTCGGGACTTGCACTTTTCCTCATAAACCGCATCATTAATTTTGTGAGGTGAAGTAAAGTGCTATAAATCACCATTCATCTTTCCCTAGTTCGTCGCCAAAGGTGAAAGTGTAAAATGTTCTCACTTCTCCGTGCAATACTGTCATGTCGGCAGGAACAGAGCAAAGTGCGCACGCGCCGCATTACAATGCGCGAAGCACGCCGCTGCCGGCTCCCACGGCTTTCTCTAGGTACATGTTGCACTACAGCGGTTCAACGCCCTCCGTATCAGCAATGACAGTCGTGAAAAACGTGGTACTTACTGCAAACGGTTTTTCCTCTATGACGCAAAAAACTGTGCAACAGAAAGATATAAATCTGTTATTGAGTTTCCTTAAGCGTTTGAAAGAAGAGTGGTTGTCCACCACCTTTACCTTTACCCTCATCAAGGAGATTGTAGTGTTTTCAACTCCAACGTCAACCGAATGCTAATAAATAATGACTGAAATTTTTTGCAGCGTACCTGCGTCGTGGTGGCTACAACGTGTTCATGTTAGACTGGGGTGCTCTGTGCCAGCCTCCGTGTTATGTGGCAGCGGTTCACAACCTGCGCCCTGTGGCTCGGTGTGTCGCTGAAGCGTTGTCTACACTCCGCCGCGCCGGCCTTAGGACTGACAACCTCACCTGTGTGGGACACTCCCTGGGAGCACATCTTTGTGGCATCATCGCTAACTATTTGACGTTCAGACTTAACAGGATTATCGGTAAGTGTGTTGTGTTGAACAAATATCCTCTATATTACCAATCATTTTTAGGCATTGTGCGTTTATAGTGCTTATGGAAACCAATTTCATAGTAAGGTCTCAATTTTTTAAACCAATTATAATCCACGAAACGGTGAATCTCGAGCCGTTCAAGGTGCAAATGAACTAGTGAAGTCCAAGTGTAAACTCGGTGACACAACTTCTGCCCACGTTTATTCCAGGCCTGGATCCGGCCCGACCTCTGATCCGCTCAGCCCCAGCTCTGCGTTTGGATCCGGGCGATGCTCGTGCGGTACACGTGCTGCATACGAACGCAGGCCGCTATGGAGAGGGCGCTCGACTTGGACATGCAGACTTCTGTCTCAACGGTGGAAGGAGTCAACCTTATTGCGAAGATACACCGAGTGAGTAAAGTACCTATATAGAGCATTTTTTGTTAACATTAACTCACAAGGTAAGTCCCTGGGGACTAGTAAACTACTGACTGAAAGTATTTAATTTATACTACGTAACATTTTCTGTTTCAATGTGCAGACGAGGCGCTTTGCAGTCACATCTGGTCGATCTGTTACCAAGCGGAGAGTTTGTTCCGATCCCGAGATGCGGCTCCATGTGGCAGGAGGTGTTCCGTGCGGGTGCCGCCCTCCAGGGCTTCGGCACTACCTGTGCCTATAGGACAACCGGCACCTATGAGGTTTGATATTACTTTATAATGTACCTACCTATGCTCATAATTTGTTTAATCAAGCCCATATTATGGTCCAGTCATCTAACATATTCCTTAGTGACGTTCATCCTTGACGTGTTGTGATATATTTTCAGCGCCTCAGGTGCATACTGCCTAGAAGACTTCGCGACGCCATTTTGTCCGTACACCTCAGGGTTGAAGGAAGGTGACACGCGCTGTTGTCTGGATGAGTTGTACGCTGCCGCTGCGACTGCTGACCCGCCGCGTAAGAGACCACGGCCTGTCAGGCTGCGCGGCCCGCGGTATAGGCATAATGACAACGATAGCGAGTATTATACTGTAGTTTAAGCTAATTGGGTAAGTAGGTGTTAGGGGGTTATCAGGAAAGAAAAAAAACATGTTATAACAGATCCTTTGAAATAGATATTTGATTATTGATGATCTTAGCTGAAGTGCCACTTACAAAATCTTCGAGCACTAAGTCGGATCCGTCCGAGTCATGTATGCAGGCCTTCAGGAATATGAATAATGAAAGTAGGGCTCAAATTACACTGAGAATGAGAAATACTTGCTTGACTTGTTTTAAATTCCGATATGACTAGACACAGATGCACCCTAAAGTGTGGAAGTAATCCTTAAGTACCTAATTATCTATGTATAGTCGAGGTCGAAGTTTTAGCTTTAAATCTTTGTACAAATATTTTACGATTTGTCGTAATATTAATTTTAGTTGAATAAAGAATACTGCAAAGACAAACCGGCAAATAACAATAAAAGTGCAAAATAAAATGGGGAAGAATAAAATTGAATGTAAATTAACTGATTATAAATATTGATTACGGATTTCTTTATAACTTTGTTTGTATATTATGAACGTTTATTTTGTAAGTGTAAATGTGTATAGATTGGAGAAGTTTAGCCAAAGAAAATCTTACCATTTAGTAATATATTGTATAAATTATGATTTAAAAAAATATTTTACTTTGCTTTATGTAGTTGAATGTATAGTTGACTAAATAAAAAACGTTATAAGACTAATTTATTTATTGAAATAAAAACTATAATAACATACTTAGCACTACTTGCAAATGGTTTTGTTTTTAACACAGAAAATAGTCTTATTTGTTAAAAATACAAATTCTGACTAAATGTGATGTTAAATGTGTATAGTTGTTGAATAGGTTAACAATAATTCAATTATAGTTAACTAGGAGTTCTATAGTTTCCTTTAGACCACCACGGGCGGCTGAAGTCGACAAACTAAATCTACTTAAAAATGACGATTTCTTGTCGGCTTTAGCCAACAGTGACGAATATGGCTATATTCTATTTGTCGTCTATAGCCGATCATGGCCGTCAAAAGAACAAGCTTATCTCAACTTTCAACGTTTGCCCATTATTGCATGCAAAGGTATACAAAAAATACAATACACTAAGGTACCTAGTAGTGAACATACTACCATCAATAGATCCAAGTCAAGGCTAGAATTTTTACATAACCTAAATAAAATATTGCAGTTCATTTTCACAAATATAGTCCATTTGTAATACAAAAACGAAATCATCCTAGGGTTGCAAACAGGAGTATTACCATACAGCTAATTTAATTTGACTGAGCACGGTCATAAATAAGCCTTTACCTTGCACTTTCTAAAAATTTTCACATGGCAACACTGAAGGTAACAGATAAATAAAGTCAGTAGTGTTGTCAGCTCTTGTTGCCTGACATGAGGAGAGAGAGGAGAGCTGCCTTTTCTTTCTCCTTCTTCCTTACAACGTCTAAGCTGCGAGCTCGCCATGTGCTTTTCCTTAGCTTGATCGGTCTGCTGCCAACATAACGCCCTGGAAACGATGGTAAAAAATTGATTAAGATGTTGTTATTGTTGCTAAAAAGTTGGATGCATGTAGTGATTACAATAAGATGAAAGCTAAAATTGTTCAAAACAAAATAAATGTTAGCTTTTTTGTATGCAGCTAAATAATGGGGGATTTTCGAAGTTCTCAAAAATAGCACGAAATAAATACTTGACAGTTCCCAGTGTATGGTAATAGGGTTCCCTTTTACATGTGATCCAGGGTTTATGTTATCAAAAATCAAACTTACCATCCATTTCCTTCATAGCCTTGATAAAATCACCAGGATCCTTAAAGCTGACAAACCCGAAACCTTTGCTTTTATTCGTCCTTTTATCTCTAATCACTTTAGCTCTCTGGAACGAACTGTATTTACTGAAGGTTCTCGTCTGAAAATAAAAACAAATTAAACATTTAGATCACATGACACTAATAAGTAACGAGTTTATTATGTTCTAACTGTTTAAATCATTTCAGAGTAATACTGAATTATTCGAAACATGATTTACTCATATGAACTATGCGAGAAAAGCTCAAGTCACAGTAACTCAAATGATTGTCAAAAATCCTACTACTTTTTGATTTAATATATTGTGATACTCACTAGTAGTTCATCTGTGACATCATTCCCAAGATCGCCGCAGAACATGCGGAAATCATCATCAGGCCAGTCTAACAGCGTCACATCTTCCCAAACTTGACCTCCGGCAGTTCTGACAACCTGATGCAAAAGAAATAAAATTATTAAACAAATTACTAGATAAATTAATTTTGCGCCCGTACCTTTAACAAACATACTTAATCTTTACTTATGGATTACTTTATCCACTGTTGAGAATAGTATTCTAATCTATTCAGAAGTAGTACATAAATTATTTCATGATTCGTTTACACTACAAATAAAGACCAGAATCATAGACCATACCAGTCACAATCAATTTCCTCGAATCCATTTTGAAACACCCCATTTCAGGACAGAACTAACGGTTGGTTCCAATAGAGGAACTTGGTAGGTATAGTATACAAAATGCAAGGACAAAAACCTCATTTAAAATGTTTTTTTAAGGACTGTCTTAATAATTGTGCTACAAACAAAATACAAATAGAAAACACAAATTAATACATATCTATAGTTACAGCCTTTGAAACTATTTAGTGGAAAAATTTAGATAAGTTACGAGCATTGTGCTAAAACTAAATTTTACAAAACACATAAATATTATTATAGTCAAACCACTTGAACACATACCTTTCTATTCTTCTTTTCTTTCTTGGGTTTAGCAATTGTGTCTGGAATGCTGATGGTTGGTGGTGGGGGTGCTACTGGTAGTGGCTCTATCACCGGCTCTGGACGGGGCGGCGGAGGGGGCGGGGTGCGCTTCTGAAAATTAAAACATGGAATTTTAGAATCTGTTACTGAAATTCATCAAGTAATTGAATTCATAAACTATTTATTAGTACTTGATTCGTTAACTTTAAGAAAGATTTAGCTATTAGGAGAGACTTATAAATTACAGAAGATTTATACAAGAATCTCTTCACAGTTGCGCAAAATAAATTTTAAATACACTCTGTGATGAACAACTCCATTTAATATTAAAAAATATTGGAATTGAGTTAGAATTAAATAACAGTTACATAAGAAGTTACAATCAACTTACCCTCTTTCGACTTTCTTTTTCTTTCTTTTCATCATCTTCTTTAGGTTGCTTGTAGAGTTTGGGAGCTGCAGAGAGTACCACAGGTTGCGGCTTCGGTGGCGGCGGTGGAATTAGCTGAGGTCCTGGCAGCCCCGGCCGCAAGAACGTTAGAGCTGGAGCGACGGGAAACACATCGCTACTCGTGGTTGGACGCATTCGTACCTGATAAATATTTGGATATTATTATGACAATATATGACTATCTCTGTATACTGTTTCATACTATGACGACATATGGGCAGCATGTGGTCTTTTTCAATTCTCACGCAGTTAATGATGAATCATTACCATATTACTTACATAATGTTCTATAATAATTAGCTAATGGGCCTTCCACTTGATAAAAACCCAGATATTAATAGACCATGTGTATATCTTATTCGAAAATTATGGCTTTTTTATTCCCATTAGAGAATGTATTAAAAGACCATAATCATATTTTAACAAATTCTAATATAACAATTTAATAAGACCATATATAATCAAATATACCTAATACGGATTTATAAAATACCACATGCAGCTAACATGTACCCCATTTAAATTTCCATCTTGCCCAGCACCTTTATAAAGGGTAATATCATCATCATCATCCAATTAACTGCTATTTCAGATAAATAGTGTTCTAATACAAAACAAAAACATCTATGTTAATGGAGATAAACCCTCGCACTGGTAGTTGTTGGTCAATCTTCAGCTATTGTCTGCAGAAAAATGATCACTCGCATACCAAGCTGCAAAAGGAACTCAGGTGTGATATTATTAATTAGGGTCCAAAATCAAAAAGGTTCTAAATAATTAATGTAATGAGAACTGGCAATCAATTTGTTCTATGATTCACACTCATGGATCAAAAGCACAAAAGTTTGAAACAAACCAAATTAATGCATTTGAAGAACCTGGTTAATGTAACTATGAGACAGATGATTTCTTTTCAGTTTAATTTCATTAACTTTCAACTAACTCTTGGAGCAGGAAGTCAAGCATTATTAAACATTGAAATGAGATGCAAATAGAAAACAAAACCACTTTTGCATGATTTTAAAATTGATATAATATGATTGATTAATAAAATAATACTAAAACAATATGTTACCTGTGAGGGCACCATGATAGAAGGTGGTGGAGGTGGAGGTGGTACTGTAGGGTACATCATGGTCATGTCGAATGGAGGAATCAGAGGAGCATTAGCTCGCTCCAACTGTTGCTGCACTGCACCAAATGTTGCCGCACCAATCACGGCACGCGAAACAACCCCGACTCCAGCATCACTGCCTGAGATCTCCGCCTCAAACCTACCAAAGAAAATAACAATAAAATATTTGTTTGGTATTAAAATGTCTAATAATAACAAGAATTACCACAGAAACTTTGCTGAAAAAAATTTTTAATCAAAATGTTACCTATGCTCAACATCTTGGTTCTTGAATGTGTTGTTGTTCACCAAGCTAAAGTTGCTAAGGATAACACAAGCTGTATTTGAGATAAAGTAAACTTACATTTTTCCAGCTTAAATTAGTTAGGTGACCAATTAATATTCTCTAACTGTTTTTCTGTTTTTTACACTTATGTCCTAGTTACCTCGGTTTTATTGATGTAGCCGAGATAAAAATGCATGATTGCATGTACGCTATCGGCAAAATAAAGCACCTCTTAAATAGAAGCAACAAACTTCCTTTTATATTGTTGTCGTAAACTTTCGACATTCTAGTTGTAATAATTTATTGATAGAAATGGTCAAAAACAACAATATATACCACGTTGTTATAAATTGCCATTCTTGTTGTTGACTATTTGTGGCAAATTATCAAGAACAATAACACATTTACAATTACTATCAAGAAATTAACAATAAATATCTAATACGTTGTAAATAGTTTATTACACCGTGTTATTTTTAGCGTGTCTTATTATACTATTAGTGGATAGGTAATTATAATAAAGAATACGAGAATTTATCACCGACCGATGCTGAAAACATTTGAGGTTATTATTGATGTTATGATATTTCGAATAAAATTCGATAGGTTACCTGGACATTTCATCCTGCATCTGTTGGTATTTAGTGGAGTCTTCCATGTTGCTGCTCGTTCTTTAACCTTAAAGCAGTCCAAAACGTATACGTAGTAACTAGAATTAAATTGTACGCCACTAATCTTAATCACCTTGGATACATACAGATCCGCACATTGTCAGGACTCTGATAGTAATTATTATCCTAATAGCTATATCCTAATATCAACGGGAATAGCAGAAAACAATATCACCAAAATTAACACTATTACTGACAAACCAACCAAGCGAATCCAAACAATGATTGGTCACTTGACACGAAACATAACCTACTACAACGAAATTCACGAAGCGACTGCCAACCAAAGAGTATAATAAGTATGTACCCGATATATTATTTTACTCTATGGTATAGGGGATTTGCCAACAGACCATAGATTTATAACTAAACAGACACAGACTGCCAACAAAGTGCCAAATTCCCAAAGACTAAAATAAGTATAGAGCATGTATAGAGGGAGAGGAAGCTCAAATGCTCAAAGACTAAAGAAATAAGAGCTGAACGTGCGAGGAACTGTGTAGGTAGGTGCCCAATGCCAAAATGGAAATAAACATGGCGTTTTAGCCTGCACATTAGACACTGTAGGCACAGGTGTAGGTGACAAAACTAGCTATATCCAATCGAGTATATTTAAATCGTTTTTCTTATAATTCGATTTCAAACCTCAAACATTTTAGAGAGTCGTTTATTATTATTTATATATTCAACACAAATATAATGTTGGTTTGAATGTGAATGATAATGTATGTTGGTTTGAAAGTAGAAAATTGCATACATACATGTCATAAAATTAAAAGTGTAAATTATACAGTAAGGGGTGTTACCTACTAAATAGACAGCGAACCAAAAATGAGATTTAAAAAATTGTCGCTGTCTGTCTGTATGTTCACGCATCACGTAGAAACTATCGGTGCAATTACGTTAATATCCTTGGCATAACACTAGATACTTTTTATCCCGAAAAAGTATACAGAGTGACTTGTAACTCAACATTCCTCTCGGGAGGTGATAATTTAATTAGATTCCTATAAAATTAGTCCAGAGGTCTCAAAAGTGATTAGTTTATGAGATATTCAACATTTTTGGTTTTGTCAAAATAGCAAGTAAAGGTGACAGATGGCACTTAATGTGCCATCAAGTCTGCGGCGCACAAAAATTTTTCATGGTGCGCAAATAATCGGTCGCGATTTTTTCACAGACTAAACGCACACGACACACATTCACGATCGTTCTGTCGGCAGAGCTGTAGGAACGTAAACGCTATGGAAATTGTGCAGAGACCTCGAAGTATTATTTTGTACATGCATTATAGAAAAAGAAGAAGAATGGGTATAATTTTATCCTTTCAGAAAGATTACTGTAGAGACAGTTCCATATTATTTTTTTTATAAAATGTCTTTTACTACATGTCGATGTCAAGGAAGTTTTTCTAATAGTTCCTACGCTTAGTGTAATATCATTTTTTTAAAGTAATTCCAGTTTTTGATTGACCAAATTCCAAAGCGTATCTACTATAAAAAAAATAAGTCAGGTTTACCTTCCTGACACTATAACACCAGAACGCACGAACCGATTTCCACAGTTTTGCATTCTTTGGAAAGGCCTCTGGCTCCGTGAGGTTTATAGCATAGAAAATTCAGAAATAGCCATATGGTGGCGAAACGGAGTTCGCCGGGTTTGCTAGTGGTTCATAAAAGAAAAAAATCTGCAAGTGCAACGGTAAGGAAGTCTCTATTGTCTCTGATCCTGTCATGTGTCACTGGTCTCGGTTGCCACTTGCCACTGCCTCAGATGCTGTCATGTTCATGTGTCACGTCTGTCACTGTCAAATGTCAAATCTACAATCGCGTACCTTGAGTATTGATATAGGGTATAGGGTAATTTACAACAAAAAAATACTTAGTTTGTTTTCTAATTAGAAGTTTTTAACTAGACATTGCTTGAAATCATGATAGAAGAAGATAATAAAACGGTATGGTGTGGAAATTTACCAGAACAAGTCACGGAAGAATTACTATACGAATTATTTTTGCAGGTACGCTCCGTGCTAAAGATATGTTTTCGAAGTTTATAGCGAGTTTTTGAAATATTCTATTTATAATTTGTAATTACAGGCAGGACCGCTAGAAAAGGTTAGGATACCGCGAGATCGAGATGGTCGCCAAAAGAATTTCGCATTCATCACATATTGTCATGAAGTTTCCGTGCCTTACGCGTTGAACCTGTTCAGAGGAACATCTCTATTTCATAGGACGCTTTCGCTGCAGAGTCGAGGACGGATGGTGACATTGCCACCGCCTATAAGATGTTATGGATTGGAACCACCTTTAGAATTTCCTCAACAGGGCAATATTGCCCAACAATTTGTTGAAATGGCAGATCATTTGAAAGAAGATGATTTCAAGATGCCTAATCGCCAGGGACATGACTCTACTGATAGATTGGTTGTTGCTAGTTTACAGGGTAACTGGTCACATCGCCACCACCCATATAGGCCCAAAGACAATTCACTTAGAGATGATTACAGACCAAACAGAAAACAAGATAACAAAGGCAAATATTCATCAAACTGGAGAGACAGGAGGAATAAGAAAAGCAGCTACCACAGATAATATTTTCATTTGGATAGATTCCAATTTCCATTGTACATATTTTTGTAAATTACGTTTTGTCCCTAGGATGGTGGTAGGTATAAGATTGATAGAGATAAAGAGATGTAATAGTTGAAGCAAAGTTTAAGATGGTAATTTTATTAATGTCTTTGTTAATTATCTTGATAATTATGTATTACTTGTTTCCAATTCCCATTTGCCAGCTTTATTAAGTAAAACTAACATCACACCAAAATGTTCATGTCGAAGCCGATAAGTATTTCAAAGCAAGATTGAATCGCTAAACTGTTAAACAGGTGATTACGATGAACATGTTGTGTAAGGTGTTGGCTCTACTTTATCTTTACACCTATCATTATAATTAACAAAGAAAGTTTGGAACCTTCATTTTTCAGCTTTGTCTAAAGTGCTTCCATAAATTTTAATATGGACATAGATTATCTTATGCCCAAGTACTGAAAAGCTACTCAAATCTTGCTATCTCTGTCATTTTACAGATAATTTGTAGTGACAGAGCTCTGTCAACTCAATTTTAATTTGTGCTTAAGTATAAAGCGCTTAAGTATAAATTAAAATTGAGTAGCCTATCAGTATTGGGGCATTAGGCAATAAAAAAGTTTTCTTTTAAAACTTATCTTGTTTATTGTTTTATATTTCTTAGCTAATAGGACTGACCAATATGCTGTATAAAATATTGTTACATCTGCAGTTGTGTGCAAAAAGGTGTCTAATTTTATACACATTAAAACATATTTCTGCTCAATTGATACAAAATAAATATTTGTATTTTTTTAGCTAGCAGGAACACTGACACCTTTTTTAATGAAGAAGGCAAAAATGTAAAGTATGGATATAATAATGATCTATAGATTTTTAAGGTTTTCAAATAAAACTGTTTTATAATTGCTACATTGTGTTTAAAATTTCGGAATGTGTTAGTGCCCTCCGTCGAAATTCTTCAGACTCAGTATAAATTTGGGTTGCATAGTAGAATTCTCTAAACTCACTCTGTAAAATGTAAAAGAAGATTTTAATGAGCATGGTTAAAAATTACAAAACAAAAACAACATCTGTTCTAAGTCGATCATCCTGTGGACACAAATTGTAGGTACTTCATTTTTCGATGGAATATCCTTCTAGGGAGGGCCAGGTTAGGCTCTGTGCTGTTAGTCTGTATTTTCCACTTGACTGTTTCTATCACAAAATGTTATAACACACTGACGTAAAGAATACTGGCGTAATACTATTCTGCAAAACAGTAAGTAAATTATATAGGTTTAAACATCGCAGAATACTACCTGCCAAAACACAATTATCATGTATTAGAATACTAGCTTTCTGCCCACATCTTCCCACTGGGAAAGAAATGAAAAAGGCATGTCCTAAGATTTTCTTTTTGAAATGAACACTGACGTGTTCCCACACGTATTGCTTTTAATATTGAAAGTACCCAAGTACTTAGTTATTCAAAATGCACTTACTATCTCGTTTCTGTACTTGTAACGTATATATCCAGCTATATCGTAAACAAACGCCAGGGAAACAACATAGAACGTGAGTGATAGAACTTTTTCCTCCCAATCGAAGTATCCCGTATTGAATACATAGTACATGAGGTAGGTGCCCAATATCCCTCGAAGGACGAGGAACATGCTGAGGTAAAGGACTTCTACTATGAAATAAAATGTTGTGTTCCCGTATCCTTCATGCTTGAGAAACCTGGAAATGGCATTTTGAGAGTGTTAAGCAGAGCAGAGGCGGATTAAACCTAAATAGCGAGCGCCTGAGGCAATGACATGCGCCAACAGGCGCCAGGCGCCCCTTTTTTTTTTTAAGGGGGGAAAATCATCGAATGACTGCTCCCGCCTGGGTGAGGCGGAAGGGAGTGTCAGACTCTTACTGACTAAAAACCACCCCGTTCCTTCTCCTGCACGTCGAGCCGGAGCCCCGGTTACCCGTTAGGTTCTCCGCGACGCCAGGCGCCCCTAACGGGCAGTTGTGCACGCGCGCTTCGTGGCGCCCCTCTGTAACCTGGCGCACTAGGCTTTTGCCTTGGGGATAATACGGCTCTAAGGCAGAGGCAAAAGGAACTGCACGGCTAGTGCAGTAAGCGACTGACTGCTAAGTAATGGCTTGTGGGTGGTGGGTTCGATACCTACAACTATTATTTTGATTGATGTTGATCAATCAATCAATCATGATCACAAACCTGAGGTATTTTGAAACACGCGCAACATTTTGATGTTTTTAAAAAACGTAATATAATCTATTTTCTTTATGCACACATTTTGTTTGCACAATATTACCTACACAAGGTCGCACATGAAAGGAAATCGTATTTTATTTACCTAGAACCCGCGATATAGGATAGCTAGTAGGTATAAGTTCAAGGACTAACGACGGTAGGTAATAATAAATGGCGTTTCCGTTGGCCATGATAATGTAAGTCCTATAGAAAGTTAATGACATTTAAATCTGAAGGACAGTGAAATATTTAAACGGAAAGTCTGATACGGCTACTACACAAGTTAGGTATTGCATGTCTAAGTAGTTGCCCATTACTAATAATATTAACGAGGTACTAAACTGCGTTGCTAACTTGATAATGTCCGTTATTATCCTCTAAATCCATGTCCATGCCCTCTCGACTCCGACCTACCTACCTGAATACATGAAGTCGGTACCTTGTTACTAATTCACATAGGTATGTTTTATACAATCATCTAATCGGTATCTACGTCGAATACACACAGCCAACAAAATTTTCATTGTATGTACCTACTATAATAAGTAGGTGTAGGTACCTACATGTTAATATTCTGAAATCTTACATTACCTACATAGGTTAATGAAAAATAAGTACAAACCATCTTGTTTGCAGTACAGGATTGGTAATCTCTAACAATACTAGAGTACACGAGTAGGTGCACCCTGCACAGTCTTTCTGCATGTACCTAGTGATGGCGACCAGAGCGGTGATGTGGTGGAGCAGCATCACAACACTCTCGGTCCAGTACACCAAGCACCATAACAGGTCGAAGGCGAAGTAGCCCCAGGACCATACCATCAAAAAGTACTGACACGCTGATAACTTTCCTAAAATCAAACACGTTAAGTTTACTTTACTTCTGGCATGTCAAAGTAACGCCGGGTGAAAAAGTGTGCAGTACCTACATTTTGGATATTGAACGGGTTCCCAGTGCAGAAGAAAAGCTTCTTTAAAAAAATTATCTCATTGTAGAGATTGTGTAAACAGATCAGATGACGACCGTTCAAAGCGTGCATAAATGGCCAGATGAAAGCTATTGAAGTATGCAAAGAAGTGGTAGTGGAAGGTAGGCGTTTTTAGTGTCTGCTCATTGAGATGAAGGGTGAGACTGGGAGTAATTTACAATCAAGTAAGATAATAGATTCCTGCCTACTAGAGTCAATGGGCATTACGTAAGCACTACTTACTGCTGAAATGCCATGGTGCCAAATTTCGGAACTGGCATTGAGTTAGGCCGACGGCAGTGGCGACGCTACCATGCAGAAATGTTATTACCCTGCAGCACCATTCAGGGCTCTTGTCTGGCGCATATTCGACCGTAAAAAAGTATAACCAGTTCCATAGAACGAATGACGTTAGTTTAAGAAGGTTCGGGACTGATAGGTCGTGTCTCATAGCCGATTATGTCTTGGACATTTTGTAGGACATAATCTTTAAAAGTTTTTATTATTTCAAAATTTAAACCGTTTTGTAGTGTTTTGTAGTAGAGTGGCTGTTTATTTATTGCTGTCACTGGTTGTCACTCAAGTGAGTCACATGTCATTATTGTTTGTATGGTGTACCTTTTAAAAACATGCGTTTCTATGAAATCTATCCTATCTAGCCTGTGTCTTTGTTTTAAAATGAATACTTATTCAAAACTAAAAAATAAAATACTAGGAGTTCAATTACTTTCTTTGATTAATTTTAGTGTTCATTAGTATAAGTAAAACGATTTAATTTAGACCAGAATATTTATTTCCTAATAAAAGTTTATAAATCAATTGTTTTAATAAGTTCGCTCCATTGGAGGATAACAATCAACTTCTTTTTAACACATCGTCGTACAGTAAGTACCTACTTACATAATTTATTTTACTACAAAAATACCTTTCGCATGTTTCAGTCATGATTACACAATTTCACTCTAATTTTTGGTACCCAGCCGATTTATGAGAGGAACATAGTATGCAACTATACACGTAATATTTAAATATTATAAAAATGTTCAGAGCCTATCGGTAGCGCAACTTATCGACATATTTTTCTATAGCACGATATCGAGACGGTGGCATTGCTTCCTTGAGCATCTGTTTGAATCGTCCATCCTCACCAAGAGCTAGGCACAACTGGCGCGCGTGCTGGCGTGTGTCTGCGTTGGCATCAGCCAGCAGCTCGCCCGCCGAGCGCAGCAGGGACGTGCGCACGTCGGGCGGCAGCGCCAGCGCGTGCGCCGCGCCCCCGCGCCGCACCAGCTGCGCCAGCGCCGCCGCGGCTGCAGCGCGCACTGGGCCCGCGCGGTGCGCTACTCCTCGTCGCGACAGAGCCATCACAGCACGCACTTCGCTGCCACCACATGCCACCTTCACTAGAGCACTGGCAGCGTCGGCCCGCAAGAACCGATTCACGTCAGCACAACGCTCCAGTAACGCACCAGCAGCCTCCTCAATCTCGGGGTCCAGCGCGCGCCCTCGATGCTCAAACAGCGCTCCTAGTGTAGTGCATGCGGCCCTGGCAACTCGTGACCTCAAAGAACGCACGTGCGTAGCAGCAGAACGCGAGGCAGCACGCCAACTGATAGCGGGTGCACGAGCTGACGGGTCCGCTGCGAGCCTTTCAGTTTCCAAGAGTCCACTGACGATCACCTCCCAGTCCTCATGTCTTGCTGGTACAATACACTCGGCGAGGGCAGTGCGTACATCACGCTCACAAGCTCGCGGAGGTTCGTCATAAGCATCACTGGCCGGCTCCGGTGTGGGAACCCCACTTCGTACTGGCGACGGAGCGCTGCTCCTTGGTGGTGTAGGTGAGGGTCGTGTACTGACACTTTTTCGCACCGGCGACACTTCTACAACGGTACTGGCTCGAGATTCCAATGACTCATGTCCAGTGGAGGCACTCGCACTCCCTGGTGTCTGAGGTGGTAAGGGATCAACCTGTAATTGCGATCGCCCGCTAAGTGGCGAGGGATTCGATTTCTCAGAATAGTCTTCAACTCTTATAGAAGGTGATCGCGGTGGAGTCGGTATTGATTGCTGGACCTCTTCACCTAAGGTGTTCACTTCAGTTATAGCACTGACTTTCACTCTCTCATCCGTACCTTCCTTGGAAGCGGACACCTTTTTATTGTTTTCCCCGTCATAACTGGTAAGTGCGCTCGAGTCTCTGTGAACAGAAATAAATACAATAATGTCACGGAAACGATTTGTTTACATGCGGGCCGGCTCGGAAATTACCGCGTGTGAGGGGGTAGGTCGGCGACGAGGTCTAGCGCGAGGGCAGTGGGTGCGGGCTGTACGGCGGGGCGGGGGCAGCAGCAGCGCAACATGGCGCCCGCGAGCCGCCGCGGCGCCTCCGCGACTGACGGCACGGCACCGACACGCGGGCTCACTACGAGTGTGTAGGCGTACACCGCACACCCTACCAGCGCGATCAATTGGCCCTATGTTGATGAACCCACTCTACCTGCATATTATGCAGATTAGCCCACCTTCACAGAATTTCTAGCGGTCGGTAAAAGAGTCATTATTGTTCATGATAATTTTATGACTAAGTCTCAATTACTCACACTCTAAGAAAGTATACCTAGATACCCTATAGACGTAACTTAAGCTATATTCGATAGCAAACCTTTTGGAGAAACAGTTTAATTTTATTGCCTACACCTAGGTACATGTTATTGAGATTTATGTAGACTTTAATCTAGTACTTACTCCGTAATTTTTTATTTATTAACAGACGTTAAAGGACTGTTACGTGCTGTTTGCTGAACACGAAAGTGGGACGATCAAACGATAAGTAAATGGGTCGTCTCGTCAGTGGTTCATAAACGCTCTGAATGAAAGTGGGCCAATAATTTAAGTTTCAAAATGTAGGTTAGTGGTGGCACGCTATTACATCCATTACTCTTGGGTACTGAGGGCCCATAAGTCACATTTCACGCCTATGTTAATACCTGAGGCCGGTACTAGGTACTTTTATTGGCGACCGCGGCTGTTAGCCTTTAGGAATTAAATATAAAACGGGTCAAAATGTTAGCTAATGAATTAGCTGGGTTCGACAAAACGAAGCCTAACTACGACCTGTTAAGTGGAATTTACCCTCAGCGGAATTGATAACAAATTAATGATAGTACGCATTAGTATCGACGTAGATATGTAAAAGTGATCGGTTTATCCTATCCTTGATTCCTAAGTTCTAACTATTCCCGTTCCATCACGGTGCAAAAGTCCAAGTCTTAGGTACCAAATCTTTCTGGTTGGTACCTATTAGTAAAAGTCTTATAATAGAAAATCTCTTGTGCATGTGGTTACATTGACAGAAATGGAATAAAAAAAAACAAAAATAACCGCAACAAGTTGGCGTTCGTACTTGCGAAAGCTTTCAATATCATATTTTATGAACTCTATCGTATCGCCATCTTCGAGCGTGGCACAATTTCGCGTCGCGTCATGATATACCGTTGCCACGCGACACTACGATTCACACCCCAAACTTTTCCAGAAATACTTTTGTTCTTGAAACTCGATAGGTATCTATCATAATGTTAAATTGTTTGACGGTTGACATTTTCAGACGATTTGTAGACGCCGAGCAATTTGTTTTCTTGAAAGCATTACGATTACAAGTTTACGAGTGTTTTGCCCCATTATTAATATCGATTGTTAGCCAGACTCTGAAATAGGGGTGACTGACTTCGCGATGTAATTGACGCCAGTAATCGCAGGTAGATTTACATAGATAACAATCGTGCACTCGCTGCTGGCCGTGGTCAGCTGCCAGTTGATGGTGTACAATCGAAATGGGAACACAGTCACGAATTAACCCCTGATTCTATTGAAGATATGGCCCCAATCACTTCTGTTCAAGGTTTACTCGACTCCACGTTGTTTGATAAGCCAGCCGCCTTCAATTAAATGACCGTTATTTTATGTAATTAGGCCAGAAAGTGAATACACAAGTGAAATGTTATTTGCAAACATTAAAAGCTACAATAACCTGTTATTATCCAAAAGAATCAGATTTATTATGTCATGAGTTATAGATTGAGCGAATTCGAATCTGATAATGTAATGCCAAATGTGAAAACAATCCAATAAACGGTCCCATTTGGGCGCCAACATTTTTTAAGAGAAAACGCTACGTGTAGGCATTTGCTATAATCTATGCTTTTTTAAAACGTTCTAGTTACAGAATTAAATAAAGCTATAATTTCCTGCGGTACAGCGAATGTTATTAAGCTACCTAGGTGGCTATTATAGAAACCGCCTGTCAGTCAGGTGTCTTTTTTCCCAGTAAGTTCTGAAGGTTAAACCATTCAACCTAGCACTTGACATAGGGCAGAAACTTGTGTTTCTCGAATTAATATCGTTGTCTACATAATTAAAGAGCCAGGTTATTGTAACGGAAATTATAGTTTTGGGTTCTTCGCTCTTTTAGGAATCAAAGATATGTAAGGTAGTTGAACGTTGAAGGTTCCTTCATCTATAATTCTATGACCAAAAATGATATGGTATATTTTTTTTAATATTTGTAAGTTCTTTTTAAGGACGTCGAACTACGAATTTTACTTATTTTAGTAGAAATGTTCAGGTTAAGTACCTGCCTATATACATCTAGGTACAAGTACCTACATTGTGTGTATCTATAAATGAGTGAATGTTTGGTATGAACTTACCTATCACTCAGGGGTATCGGTGACAAGGCTTTGAATGGAATGTAATCCCTGCCTGGCTGCGACACACCTGTTGAACCAAAAAAAAATTACATGACTAAGAGAAAAATCTTCCATCAAAGGCCCATTTTAAATTCTACAGACAAATTGAAAACTTCTTTTTGGGGAGTCAGTTAAAAAGAGTTGTCTTTCTATGTAAGCATTGTAGCAATTGGCCTTCCATAGTATCTGCCTACCCCCATGGGCGTGAGGGTCTGTATGTCTTTCGCAAAAAATGACTTTTTAAATGAAGACGACAACCAAAGAAAATATGAACAAAATTGTGTGGACAACAAAATGTAAGGAAAGATAAGATTAGTAGATTGAATATAAATAAAATTAATGGATTTGAGATATTATAACAGAAGATGAAAATATTGCGTCGACTCAACTTAGATAAACTCAGGAAAAATAATATGTTTTAATGCCTCAATTTTTTTACATATTTCTGAGTTTCGATAGGCATCTTACCAAGCAGGGGTGCTGAGTCAGGCAAAGGCCTCAGTCTTCGTGGAGGTGGCGGTGCAGCGGGGGGAGGGGTAGATCTGGCTCTACGACGTACCGGCACCGGTAACTGAGAGCTCCTGGACAAAACAAGAGGGGAAATAGATTTTCAGTTTTATTGCAAAATGTTAAGACTGAAAATCTATTAAAACATTTTAATAATTTTAAAACTTGCATACCTGTTTACGTGACTTGGCTTGATGTTCTCTATAGGACGACTCAGCCTTTCCCTCAACTAGAACAAAATCCCTGAGTCATTCATAATCTACATCTATGAGTAACCAAAATTTATTAACACTACATAAAGTTAACCTTACAAAAAAGGCTTCTTTGACCTTCAATTTTCTTCTTCATTCGTGAGTAATAAGGTCAATGTTCGTAAATCAAGAATGCTAACTCAATGTTGCACAAACTTTATAAGAGCCTAAGAGTTTAACTCTCATAGAAGAGCAATGAACTCACCTTGAAGTCAGTTAAAAAGAATTACCACTACCCGTAAAGCGATGAAATGGTTAGTTTAGTTGGTTTAGTTTGGCCACCACTGGAATAACAAACAGTCAGTTATGATCTACCTTATTACAAAAGACGTCGGCTCTCGCGGTTCCAGCGAGTCTCCTTCTCACCGCTGACAACACGGCAGCTGGACCGGCTGCCCTGGCCAGGCACAATGCAGCCCGAAGTTGAGCACTTTGCATCTCTTCTTTATCCCCACTTACCTAAATAGAAGGAGATTAGAGTAGACCTTTGATGAATGCAAGATTCCAATAGTAATGTCGCTCGGTTATATTTCGTAAAAGCGTCGTCCAAAATCTCGTTTGGTTAACGATATCGACAAATTTGCAGGAACGGAAGAGAAAAGATAAGCACAGAATCATGAAAATATGGTATAAACCGGTGCAGCTGACCCAGGGGTGAAACGATGATCGTAGTAGTTAATATTGCGGATGATGAAGTTAATACTCACACCAATCATACTCGGATCAAATATAAGGTCGACAATATGATGCAGGGCCAGTCGTTGCAGTAGCGCATGTGGTAAGGCTGCAGGGAGTGGTTCCCTCGCCATGCGAGAGATGAGAGCGGGCAGGAGTTGTCTAGCGCAGTCGCTGCTTGCTCCTCGCACTAGAGCACACACTGCACCCTCTGCTGGAGCTCTTGCAGCAGCCACCTAACCATAGATAGATACATTCTTTGACGACAATATTATATAGGTACCTACTCGAAAATTCAAATTAGTTTTTCATGTAACTGTACTTCCGAGAACACATTTTTTTAATGGAAATAAAAATTATAACGAATTTCTTCACCTAGATAAGCACCTATGCAGAAAGTATAGGTTCAACGAAGCTAAGTATTTGAGGCATTCTAAAAGTCTAGATTTCCAGACATTATGCAGTGCCGGTGTATTTATAACATCTGCCTACAATAATGGACGATACATGTAAGTATTATTATCAACCACTATGACACGCGACGTGGATAGGGTTCGTCCCCATTTGATACATAAATATTTTTAACTACGACAATTATGGTGGTAGACGAGTCGTTAAAATGCTATATCCCGAACAGCTATCAGTTACTGTTGCCATGCAAACATTATACAGACAAATGGCGAAACTACTATTGTACCTATTTACTGAAAGAAAAATCACGAAATCACGAAGCCGATAATGATGAATTTGATGATGAAAAACTCACTGATAAACTAAAGTGTCACCCGTATTTATTGAACACCTTTTTCGTATTCCCATAATTTTGTTCAACTCTCTGTTGATCAGTATTCTGTTGATTATCCCTGTAGTTTCAGGTAAGTACTTAAATAGTGATTGTTATGGAATTTCGTCAGTTTTAAATTAACCTATACCTACCTAATACGTTTATGTATTTTGTCATTCGTGACTAGCATCCGACGAAGATGGAATGGACCAGACATTTCACGTAGACCTTTTATGTGTTCACTTCCTTACTTTCCCCCATGTTTGCATATTCTGAATTATCATAACTATTTGTATTATTTTATCGTGTTTAAAATGATACCCACAACATAAGGCAGGTAAACTGAAAAGACCGCCCCAATGCGGGCTAGCGGGATTTTTATGTTCTTAATTTATTACATTTGTCGGTATTATCTCTTTAAGCTTTTTGATTTGTAATGCAACCTTTTAAATCTAACTGGAATGCATAAGAATAAATCTCGAATAAATCAGGGATTCCCTAGATTCCTTTGGGGATAATAAAATCACGAATGACAGTGGTATATTGACAACGTTCAGACCAATGCTGGGTTGAAGTCCTCATTCTTATATCAGATGGCAAATATGTAAAGGAAAAAAAATCCAGAGAGTGAAGCTTGGTCATTCCTAAATATAGATTCCCATGAGGAAGAAAAACCAAAAAATATTTCGTAATAATTTCGTGTGTAAAAAATAATGTTACTGAAACTATAAAGAGAGAAAAATAACGTAGAAAGTGATACATCAGATTAATTTATGGATCCACACTATACTAGAAGACTATGAGATGATATGGATGGGAGAAAGAGATAAAGAACAAGATGTAGTGGTATGGCCTACCTCTTCGCTGAGCGCCCACATGTGGTGCACCAGGGAGAGGGCTGCAGGCTCCACCTTCCTCACACTGCTGGCTTCCAGTAACGTGCTGTGGAGCTGGTCTGCAGCACGCACCGCCGCTATCCAGTTCTCCTGAACATACACATATGTAGTTGGTACCACATTGCTATTAGTGTTCTAATAGCAATTTTAAAGTGTAATCATTAGGACAAAAAAAGACAGAAGAACTAAAAGAATTACTGATCTTTAATTCAAGGCCAATTGTGGAGTACTCTTTATTTGGTAGGACAAGATGCTACATGTAAATAACAAATGAAAGCTAAAGAGGTATCTATGCAAGTGTAATGGTATGTTTTTATGGAATTTTCCCTAAATCTCAAGAAGTCGTTTCTTATTACTAGATACTAAAACAAAGAATTTATTATCATAATTTTTTACGTCTATTTCTGTTTTTATTTTATTACCTAGCTAGAATTCCTAGGTCTTGTTCAACATTCTACCGTTTGAAGTTTAAAAGTATGTCTACGTACACTAAATACAACATGCCTAACGTACCTACCAATGTACTAATTTAGATACTAGACAGTCGATACAATGTGTAAACTGAAGGTACATTATCGATTTGCATAATAAATTGAGTAGCGGTACAATCGGGAACGAAACTTATATAAACTATCGTTAAAACCTTTGCTTGGAGGTAGTATCTTTTATCTTTTGATTTACCTACATATATTAATAACATAATGCCAATTTTTACAACTGTGTTACTATTTATTTATATACAAGTTCAAAACTTGTTCAAAACCATGTCAAAAACAAAAATACTTCGTTAGTTAAAAAGCTTACATACTGCTACGGCTGATACACAAATATCGCTATTTTGCGCTAGAAATTAGGAACGTTTATACGCGAAAACTGCGAAAAGTGATGTAAAAGGTGTGATATCGTGTTAATTATGTAGAAAGAGAAAATTTTGTCCTATGATTGTTGACAAACTTTTACATTATTAGTTAAAGCTCCTTGGTCGAGTGATTGCAAACGTGACAGCACGTTTGGGGTTCGATTATAGGTTTAGTCGGTTCGGAAGAATATTAATATTTGGAATACTATACCAACAGTCATTTAAAAAATTAAATCGTGTTAATAAATTATTTATACCGTGTTATGCAGCTGGTCAGACACATGCTGTGGAACTACCCCCAGTTCTTCCCAGTCGTAATGTGCGCGCAGAGGAGTTGGAGTCCGTGGAGTTAGAATGTCGGTCTCCTTGGGCGGCGACGAAGCCAGTAGACTTAACACGAACCTATCCAACAAACACTACTATGAAACACCAGCACGATATGACCTATTGACCATACACAGAAACAATTATTATTGTTATTTCCTACTTACCCATCACGCTCCAACTCTACCCGCGTCTGATGACGTCGCGGTGACACTGTAGGACTTCGCTGCAAGTTATGCAACACCTCCACCTCCTTATGAGGCTCCACAGGACTTCGGGAACTTCGCCCCGATTTCTCCGGAGACCGCACCTCTGCCAGAGACAACGCTAGCCCTGACATTTCCTGCATTTTACCTTCACCTTCCTCATTCTTTGATCTAAAATAATCATACAATTCACTTAATGACTTCGACTTTATTTTAACCCCATTGTATTTAGCTTCATACGGTTTTTGCAATTTATTATGTATGACTGGCAATGGTATGCCGCTCTTTTTATTATTATTCACTTTATTTTGCGCTTCCCTTTCTAATGCCTCGCGTTTTATTTCATTCATTTTTGTTACTATTACAGGTGTCGGTGGTGCCATTATCTCTTTAAAATTCCCATTCCTCTGATGCCTATGCACATTAGTATCATCTTCACTTGTTAACAAGTTGTCGCTGTCAGGAGTCCGTATTTTAACACTCTCACCACCGAAACGCACTCTTTTAACCACAACATCCGTGTCCTCGGAGTCACCGTCACTATATTTTAACATGTTCCTATCTGAGCTGTCGTAGTCATCTTCACTTCCTGTATTCTTATCAGATTCAGTCTCATTCTCTTCTAAAACGGTCATTGTGATCGCAGTATCAGAATCAAACTTAATTTCCGTTTCAATTATAACTTTAGCAAAATTGTTATTGTAAAATGGTAAAGGTGCAAAAGAATCTTCTGAAGATGAATCAGTCGACACTCGAATGGGTCCCGTGTGAGCATTATTAAAAACGTGATTAATTTTTACTAAAGGTGTGTTATTGTTTCTATAGGCAGTTTTTCTTGGCGCATAGTAAACATCCATAGAATCTTCATCGTAAGTTTCACACAAATGACGAAATCTATCCTGAACTTTAGGATCTAACCTCGATAAATACATCATATAATCACGTGGTCCACAAGCACGTCTTAGTTTCAGTAGAGATCTCTGTGCGACGTCTCTGTGTACGGGATCATAGAGTTTATCTCCTAAGACTTGAAATATAGGTAACATATCAAGGTGTGAATGTCTTCTTTTCAAAATAGCCATCACGGATGGTATTGATAGTATCAAACCGGTAATAACGTTCACTTTTGTGTCAAGATTTGCAGAATGCGGCCTTATGTTGTGATAGGAACATTTATCTAAAATTGCGCGCGCTGCACATTCCACATCTTCACAGTGCGTGCAGAAGACTTTAAGTGCATCTAGCGCAGCTTTCCGTACGTTAGGCGAGTTGTGTCCTAAATTGTCGACGACTTGATCGAAGGGAAACGACAGAGCATTCCCGGAGAGCGGTAGAAGATCTGCTAAGACACGAAGCGCGTGAAGACGAACTTCCCACTCGGGGTGTGTGAGTCGGTCCCTTATCGCGACGTAGAGGAGCTCGACATCGAGGTCGGGCGGCAAGGCGCGCGCCCGGAGCACGCGGTCCCACAGCGGAGCGAGAGGCGGCGGCGGTGTTTCAGGCAGTTGCATGGTGGTGGACTGACGGCGAGGGCTCGCATGCCCAGCCGGGCCGCGTCGCGCCACACAACTGGGTTAATGGTCGGACGGTAAGCCACGCCGCCCCTGACCAATCGATGCCAACACATACCTACGTGTTACCACTACGGGCACACGTACACATTCGCGTGTACGCGTAATTAGGTATTTGCAATATAATAATATACATTTCCGATTTAGGTACATTGTGGAAACGACTCTACTCAGGTAATCATTTACGTTAGAACTATTTTGTCGTCTAAGCTACTTTATACTATTTTTCGAAGTATCTACTATTTAAATCTTATTTTCCTGTCTGAAACCTATCAGATGACCAATCATTTATCTAAGCTGAAATGCTTAGATGTACAGACAGACTATTGACTCTACAATTTAAGTACTTGTACTTGATAGGAAAAACGTCCCATTTACTAAAATAAAAATTCTTTATTTTATCATCACGCCTGATGTTCGTACCCACCTTTCACCAGAGAAAAGTGGTAAGTCTTTATTGTGCCTGACTGTTACACAGCTCGCAGCTACTTTCAAGTCTACAGTGGTTGAACCAGAAATTGAATCCCTTTCTGTTGGTTGCTTCACTTGCAGACTATATTTCTAGATGCCTATTTGCACTATACCCTGTGTGAGAAACAAAATTATCTAATATACAATACAAGTCAGGAATAAATTAGAAGAGCCTATTATTAGTACCTATGAGTTATAATGTAGGGCAAAGTCAACTGCTTCAACATGAAAACTATTTAGTTTACCTAATTATTGTCACCTAAATACCGATCCAATTATTCGCATTTTTCATCTACCTACGCAGGTTACGTATAAACATTCGGTGTGGAAGGGTGGTTCTACCTACCCATAGGAACTATTTTATATAGCCTCATTAATTGTTATGGCTCCGGCTTGCCTTTATATCAATTTACTTGATAAGAATTCAGGTCATTTTGACACCAAGGCCAGGACCTTCGGTTTTACACTTTCAGGGAAGGCCTTGGGGTGCGTTACGAAACAATGCACAACAACTTGCTAAAATCTCAGGGTACATATGGAATGGTATGCGTAGGTACGCCAAATTGATTACTTCATTCTTTGACACCTATCGTGATTTGCGATAAATATCGGTTTCGGTACGCTTATAAACGTAAACAATTTCAAATGAAATTAATTTGGGTATGTCAATTTACTCAATGTTCCATTAAGTTTCTATCTTTCATGCAAAAACTGTGTGCATTGGTTTTGAAAATTTCGAAATAGCGATCAATTTATGATATGTATGTACCTACACCGTTTTGACCATCACATTTTACTTTTATAACAGAGCTTTATTTTTTTTGTTTTTAATGGTTTCAGACATGGAATCAGAATACATGTTGTGCTGGTGGCTAATTCCATGGTATATCCATGGAATTAGCCACCATCAGAGACCCAAACCCCTTCCGCAACATGAAATTCTGCGATACTGGGAATGTCCACAGGACCATAATGTTAGGCTGCCTCGATTTAAAACTGATTTTAAGTAATGTTTTGTTTCATGAGGGTAATTATTATCTTTGCGATAGTTTCGGTACTTATTTTTTTTACTTTTACTAATAAACAATAAACAAGATAGAAAAAGGTTTTATATTCATGCTTATTATTATATGAACTGGTTTGATGATAAGGTAAACCGACGGAAACCGAAAAATCCTGAAGAATAAACATCTTCTTTTTTATAATTATATTTTTATGGCTTCTGGGAAGATTTTTGACGAAAAATTGCCAGTAGCTAAATATTTAACACAATTCACAACTATACATAAATAAAAATAATAATACTAGTCATTTTAATATTAATTTATATTATTTTAACTGTAACAGTAATTTCTGTAATTAACTCGACATCACGGAGAAACGAAACGTCGTTTGCCGCCGCCATGTTTATTTTATAAATGTCAAGTTCAACAATATCGTCTGCACAAAACACGACGTTGCTCCGTGAATGATATTTTGCGTTTTTAATATAAACATATTGTTTTTCAAACATATCGATGAAGTCTATCAAAGAAAGAAATGTGAAAAATCCAGTGCGCATAATACAAAGGCCGTGTTACTTCATAAATATGCTTTCGTGATGACAATTTTATTGTGAGTGCGGATCAAAGATATGCCGACAAGATGAAGGTTTTATCATTGTTATTTATGATTACGACGAGCTGCGGCGTCTGTGTGATCCTAGCTCAAGGCGATAATTGTACTAGAACTAACAGTCGTGGTGATTATAAACTGTGTGTTCGCAAGCTATCGGAAACTTTAGCAAGTAAATTTAGTGAAATAGTGGTCAAAGAACTTGGCAGCGAGTATACGACACGTTTTGAAATCCGGACAGCTTATAAAGTGAGCCGTTACCAAACTTCGGACAATGATGTCCTGACAAATATTGCTGAAAAGCTTAGCTACAAGCTGTCGGCAGCTACGAACATTCTTCGTGACATGAACAATGTAATCAGCGACAACAGTACTCCGTCCTTCACCCACCCTTGCCCATTCAACTCTATTCGTAAGTCTGTGTTTATCAAAAGTTCCAATGTATACGACACATTGCCTTCTCAGGACCTTAAAAATAACATGCTGGGTCGCTTTAAGGATTTAAAAGTTAAGAGACAATACTTCCTATCTCATATGGACTATGCTACTGATAAGGATTGTGCTACAATGCCCCATTCTAACTTAAGATACCTTTATCATAAGATTGTACATCCTGAACCAAAATTGGTGGTGTTTATAATAGATAATAATATGAGAGAAGGCCCATTACAACATGCAATACATGTGGCCAAAGAGACTGTGTACGCCCTGCAGGACTCTGATTAATAGCACTTAAGATGACAAATATGACAGAATTTCTTAAATTTGAAGATACTTGTAGCACTGATGGAATGTCTGACATAGGAAATGCCACAGAAACAATAAACTGCTGCTGAGGGAATATTTATCATCACTAGACATTGCACCCACCAACATGTCTCCTCTTGCAATAAATAAAGAGTTGAAAAATTTATTACTACAACGGGATTTACCAAAACACAAACTCTTTATTTCTCACAGACACAAAAGTTTTGAAAAATGAAACTTGGCTCAAAATATTTCCATACTCTGCAAACAGAGATGAGAGCTTAAAGTTTGCTATTGGACTGATTTATGAGAATCAGGCAGATAAAAATAGTTCACTGGGTATATTGCATATTGACAAGTGGCACACACATACAAACAATCATTCTGTTATGAGGTTGCACATCAATGACAGTGGAGTTGTGGGACAAGTTGCATCCGCATTTATATCTCTCCTGCCGGGGCACTACGGAAGTAAGAAAATAAAAATTGAAGGTCCAGTTTGGGAGGCAACTGAAAGAGATTTCATGATATCTCTAGTGCTACCAACGACAACTGGAGTACTTGGACTGGACCTTTATTGGTCTGATCTTGCAGAAGATATAGTATATTTCAAGGGATCAAATGAAAAGAAAAGAGCCTTTGTCATGGATTTCTCAGGTAATGTTTTAATGCACACATTTTTCCCAAGACCAGAATCTGCTTCAGACAAAATTAAGTTCACAAAACTGGAAAGTGTGGAGACCTACACATTTATCTCAACTGTGAAACAAGAAATGTTAGCTAATAGTTCTGGCAACTTGACTATGTATGAACAAAACTCTACTCAATCAATTATTTACTCTTGGAAATGGGTAGGAAACTTATATGTAGTTTGTATTGTATCAGAGGTGGCAGAACCTGCTGCATTCAATAAAACTAATATCTTTTTTACTAGAAGCAACAAGGAAATTTTGTTTCATAGGTTAGATTTATTTCCACCTAAAATGGGGAAAATGTGCAGACATTTCAAACAAATAGCTACAATAGATCAGGGTACTGTGTATCTAAGTCCATCCAGCTTCCAGTCCCCCTTTACCTATTTATATGACATGGGTGATGGTCAGGAAGCTGTAACATATATGCAGAATTACCTAGCTTACTTAAAAAGTGTTGCCATGGGTTACTCTCTAATCCTGGTCTTAAAAATGAAATTCAACAAGATGTTGGATTTTTAAATTCTATTCTGTCATATTACAAAAGGCAACACTTGCATGGACCTTATTCGAAGTATATAGTTAGAAGGTATGCAGTCACAGAGAGTGGAGTGCTGGTGATGTTCCCTGGCACTGTATTAGAATATGATTACGAACCAGTTAGAAGACCATGGTATACATATGCTTTAGAGAACCCAGATAAAATTATCTTATCACCTCCAAACTTGGATGTTGGTGGTGCAGGCTATGTTGTGTCTATATCATATGCTGTAAAAAGTTCCTTTTATCCCACTATGGTTGTGTCAATGGATGTAACAATGGGCTTTTTGTATAAGCTTCTCATAGATAGTATGCCTCTTTGTGCCATGTCCTATGTCAAATGTTTTATAATGAATAATAAAGGCTATCTGGTGTCACATCCTGGCTTAATGGATCCAAATAGCTCTGGGCCTATAGAACAACAACATATCACTCATAAGGAATCCATGATTGCTATTGATATGTTGAATCATAAGGGATTTGTTACAAAAAGACTATGTAATAATTTTTACGACAAAACTATACAGCGGTTTTACGAATTTAATACCTCTCTACCGAATGTGCTCTCTAATGTCGTATCAGGAGATCATTGTGTTCATTACTACATTGCAGCCATTCCAGGCACTAATGCATTTATAGGTCTGGTGAACGCATCCTGCAGCGTGGGCGCTTTCTGTCCATGCAGTATGGTCGATCGTCTCTGTTTAAATTGTAATCGTATGGAACAAACGGAGTGCGAATGTCCATGTGAATGCAGCTCCGAACTCTATGAATGCCCCAACTCTAACACATCACGATACAATCTAGAAATGCCTCTATGTGGCATGATGCTTGAAAACAACAACCACAAGTCCCATTACTTCCATAATTTTGCTGAGAACTTAAAGTCTTGTTTTGATTTTCAATGCGAAACTTATATGTCGCATTCGTCTTGCTTAGGCGTTGTTGGTTGTGAATGGTGCCAAATTGATGCTGACGGTAGGACGCCATTGTCTGCACCGTTCTGTACTTCTCAATCCACCTGTTTCAACGGTGTGCTAGGAGCTGTTACACCTTACGGAGAGGGCAATCTTGGCCACATCAATAGAGACGCATTCGGTAACTACTCAGCTATTGGGCCGATCGCCGGTTGTATAGTTACTGCAAGTTTAGTCATCGCTGTTGCCATATACTGCTACAGGCAGAATGTTACTACAGCCAGTTGCCATAATTTATATGTTGATGGTCCAGCAGAGACCTGGCACGACGCAGATGTTCAAATGAGCCACTTGCAATCTGATGATATGCATGACCAGTCTGGGCAAGATAAGCTGTTACCAGCCATGGAGATAGAAGCTCCCATATCACCATACAGGGTAGTGACTGGTTATAGAAGGCCACATACAGCTGGTGGCTCAGATCATGGGTACTCTACTATGACTCCCCATGAAGATTCTGAAGCCACTGGATTCTCAGTTAATGAGCCAATTGTGTTATCAGATGACACTAAGTCTGATATTAGTTGTCCTCTGCCAGCCAAAATTAAACCACGACTAAAAGCTAATGATTTAAATGTAACTGTTTTACCATGCGGTAAGAACAGTATAATAGCTCCGGTCACTGTTCATAGACATATGGAAGCATCGTAACATTTTAAGTCCTTTAAATAAATCTACCTCTGTGTAAATAATATTTTAATTATTAATTAATGAATGTGTTTAATGTGATGAATTTTATTTGCTAATGCTAACAGTTTTAATATTTTCCAGTTTTCTTTATAAAGTACTTAGCTTTAATATTGTTCGATATCATGCAGCTATTTTTACTTAAATATTTGGTGCTCTTTATGTACTTTGTTATAAGAATTGTTTTATAATTTTATCATGATAATAGTATTGACTTGATGTTCCGCGATAAATGATAATATAATAATCAGTAGTAGAAATTGCATTTGGATCTATATTATATGTATGTGATAGAATTTGTTAAATAATGAGTACTTAATCTAATCTTTATCATGATAATCAAGTTACATATAATGGCCTCATTTAGATCGAACAAGAATAATGTGTCAGTTTTCTGAGTTGACATACAGTAATCATATCATATCTATAGTATAGTGGCAGCTCATTGATAAACATAATATGCTAAGGTGAACAGAATTCAGGTTGTAATATACAGGTCTATTAGCAATACGTAAGTTTTATATGTTGTATTTTCTGTGGTAGCTTGTAAGGCGACTAAGTATATGATAAATTAATTTTTGAAAAAAAAAATAAAGTGCCAGTGCCTCCTGTATTATTAAGATATAAGCAAACTTATTTTTAAGACTGAACTTGATGTTGGCATTTATTTGACGTAATATAATTTTCTTTTATAAATATAGTTGTTTGATTTAATTAATTCAATTTCCAGCATTTTTTGGCTAAATCGTCACCAGGCATGTAATCTTTCATTATTTGCAAGTGTAAATTGATTCAATAAAATAACTTAGTGAATCAAACAACTGTTGACTGCCTCGTTGGCCGAGTCGCAAGCTCGCAAGTGCGACTGCCGGGCAAGGAGTCTTGGGTTCGATTCCCGGGTTGGGCAAAGTATTACAAAAGTATTACTTTTTTTAAAATCTCAGTAGTAGCACGGAGTCTGGAATTGTGCCCGGTATATGGCAATAGGCGCACCCCCTATTACATGAAACTCATAATAACATACATAAATATGTGAAAAGTGGGTGTTACTTTGTACAGTGGCATAATGTGCACCTCTGCCTATAAAGGCGTGATGCTATGTTATGTTACATGTTATTTGAATAAATAAAACATGCATAGTTACCTTCAAAAGGATTTATATGTATTTAGATAAGATACTTACATATTACATGCTACTTGAAAATAATAAATCTTTTTCAGTGAAATAAATACAATGTGGGATAATAGATATTGTGTCTGATCTTTGCCAGTTAATCACAATGCTAGGCTGGTATTTTTAAATGGCTTGTGACAAAGTGATTGTTTTGTCCATGGTAGAAAAAACTTAGTTCTTTCCTTTTATGATGAAACAAAAAATACGCGCCCATTATGTAACTCACAAATCTTAATAATATAGTGATCATTCCTATTAACAAAAAAATTTAATACCAAAATATGTTGAGAAGAGTTCTTTGAAACCTTTAAAAATTATTCATCTTCGAATCGTATATGCGTGTGAGTTGGTTGTGGTGAGGCGGGTGCGAGTGGTCGCGGCGTGGCCTGCAGGTCGCGCTGGCTGAGCAGGCGGCAGCGCCCGCGCGGCCGCCGCTGTGACAGGGCGCTCTCCGCTCTAGCCCACTGCTCCTCCTCTTCAGGACCTGACAGGACGCGCGCGTGGTTGGTTGTGTTGGCACAGTACTGGAATAAAATAATGTTTCATTCAATGACGTGACGAGAAGGGATGAAAAGTAAAGCACTGTATTTAAATATAAATGGATGTTTAAAGAAAATAGACACAGTAAATTAAGAGTAAAATAGTAAACCAACAAATAAATTCCCTTAGAAAATATTTACCTCTTCTGCAGATTTTGGTGTGTCGAATCTAATAATTGCCTCCGTTTGGCCTTCCTTCACGTCGACATGTAGCGCGTGAATGTTGCTCCTGATCTGTAAAATAAAAATGACAATAAGCACAACAATAATGAATAAATAACATTATGATATAGTGCTACTTGTCATAAACAGGTTTTAACGTATTACAGGATTACAAATTTAAGGAGCTAATTAAAGGCTTAAAATAAGGCTCCAAATAATATTTACCGTTCTTTTTGTAAGCCTGACATCTAAGCATGGTTCTGGTAATATTTCTTTGACAAATAAACCTGGAAGTTTTTCTACAGACGCTATTCCTTTGGGAGCATCTGTTTGGCCTGATGGCAAACCTGGAAACATAATATTAAGATTTATAAAATAATTTTTTTGGTTGTCAGTGAGAGAGCAAGATTTTTTGGGTAGGGTAAGTAAAGAGTGTGTTTTGATTAAGAATACTATTTGCAAATATTCTAGAATCTATTTTCTTCATTATATGAGCAAACCGCTATAGAAATTCTTTTGATTCTTACTCAATAATTTACTAGTTTCAGTTCACATTCCTTTCAAAGTAATGTTGAGCTCTCAATGAACTACACCTAGTCAAATGTTATGTAATTTCTGCATGTCACTCACCTGGTTCCACTTCAATAGAAGGAGCGGCGGGCGCCGGTATACTAGAGTACTGATGCTTCTTATTATGTAAGTTAGTCTTCATCTCCTTCATGTACTTTCTTTGCAAGTTTAGATACTTATTCCTTAACGCTTTCCACTCAGACTTAGATAACACTTGTAAACCCCACAATGCACCTCTAGGAGCCTCATTTTTACTTAAATTATTCTTAGCATTGCTACGTTCTTTTGCAGTACGCTTTCGAGTTTTCTTTTTCCGTGGACTTTCTCCTGTGTCCTTCCCTTCATCTTGACTAGTCATTTCATCCTTCGATTCTAGATCAAGTAATTTGTTTTCCTGCAAATAGTAAGTTTTATTTGTAGAGCTGTTAGTTTTACTGATTCTGTCATACTTTGTCTAAGGTATAATCAAGAGAATTTACTAACTAATGAAATGAATGAAGGGGTAGGCAGAGGTGCACATTATGGCACTTAATGCCATTGTACAATGTTACACCCACTTTTGACTATTTATGTTATGAGTCTCATGCAATAGGGGGTGAGCCTATTGCCATATACCGGGCACAATTCCAGACTCGGTGCAGTAGCAGTGAGAAAATTCCCAGTAGTAACTGGGAATTTTTTTAATAACCTAGTAATAATCTTCCCAGTGATTTGAACCCGAGACCCCTTGCCCGGCATTCAAACTTGCCCTGGCCACTCAGTCAACGAGGCACTAATAACAATAATTGAATTAATTTACCTCTGTTGGTGTTGACAGGCTCGCAATGCTTTTTGTTTCTTCCTGAGAAGTAAAACATTTTTTTAAATAACAGGTCTTTTGTAACACATTTTCAGCTATATTATATGAAGAAACCTAAATGTGTAACTTGTGTGTGTGTGTGTGTGTGTGTTGTAGTACAAAAAGAAACAACTGCACAAAAATAAAGAATGGATTAATATTTATGTAACAGTATACTTACAGTAGGAGTATCAACTCTCTTCTCACTATCGGACTCGCTTCCCAACTTCAACTCCAAACTCTTTTGAAGGGACTTTTTATCCTTCCTTTTCTTTTTCTTTGGTGGTTCATCTTCTTCTTCTGTCTTTTTCTCTGTTGTGTCCATTGATGGTTCTTCTGCTGTAAACATCTTTATAGAAGATAGTTCTTCAGGTGGCATGCAAGTCGGGAGTTTACAGCCCATTTTAGTGAATGTAGATATGCATTTTTGTGCATCCTCTGGTCTGTTAAACTCGATGAATGCAAAACCCTGTAACATAGTGTGAAAATATATTATGATTTTGAAATTGTTGTAAACATGATAGGTATGTATCCAATATACATGTGCCAATTTTTTTATTTTTTTTATATTTGATGAGCTGACATTTCACCAGTATCTCGCCTGATGGTAAGTGATGATACGGTCTATGAAGATTGTAGTATAAAATATATTAGTTTAGAAAATACTATGTATGAGTACTGATCATTTAGGTATTATGAATTTTTTATGTGCAATGATTATTATTATAATTATTTACCTTAATTTTCTGTGAGTTTTTGAACTTCGGCAGAGATATGTAAGCAACATGTCCATAGTCCGAGAAGACTCTCTCCAGCCATTCCCTGCTAGCTGTCACTGGAATAGACTCTACATACACAGTCCTTGAGTCAGCATCATATGGTAAAACTGCAGTCTTTCTCTTCACCTGCAAATCACATTGTAAAATAATAATTAGATTTTTTTCAACATTCATATAAGATTTAATATAAATTTATACTTTCGAAACATAAATAATTGTGTTAATTGTGTCATCTTAATTTATCTAAAATATGGGTAGGTTCACCTTCAATCTATCTTCTGACAATTCCAATAGAGTTGAGTTCTTCATAGCTTTTGCTATATCGCTGACATCCTGCGTCAACGACCGGACTTTATTAAACTTTAGGAACAATTCTAGCGGCACGTAAGGATCATTCTTCACGAGGTCTCCTAAGAATCTATCCTTAGTTAAGTTGGCATCACTAAAGTAGAATTCCATTTGTTTCAGAATATTCTCGTAAAGTTGCTTCTTGCGGTGCCGTATGCGTTTTCTAGGGCTATGTTCATGTTTAGTTTCTTGATCAACAACTTCGGCGGGTTCCGATTCAGACATGTTTATATAGATGTTGTAACAATATTGAATGTTTTATTGATAGGTTAAGTTATATAAAAGTACTTTTAGGTTTTAAAAATGTTCCTTGAACACAAAACCTTTTTCTTATTAGCAATTCATTCAAAAATACGCTTCGTTCGTTACTCCGCGCAACTGCCAACACAGAGCATGTAATTATAAGAGGCGGAGCTTAGAACATTCTATTTTTTGAGAGTTCGTAACGGCGTTTAGCCAACCACAGTACCACACAATGCTACCAACATTAGCAATGACAGTGACAATCATGACCTTGAAAAGAGGAACTGTCACAAATAAGGATGGGCAACGTTTCGAAATTCAGATTTCATCGATATCGATAAAATATTAAGCATGCATATAGGAATCCTGTACAAACGTATATATTTTGAAAATTAGGAAAAAAAAAACACTATTTTGTATAATTTTACTTATTTATTCATTTACTTAATACATTCACCATATATTACAGATTAGATACAGAAGTTGTTTCTTACAATGCCACTTTTCTGACAATCGACCTTTACATTTAAATCCTTTATGCCGAAATATTCAGACGCTGGCTGATCATGCATTGCATGCATTGGTCTTTACGTTGCAAGGTATTTTTTTAAGGGGGGAAAATCATTGAATGACTTCGGCCGCCTGGGTGAGGCGGATTAGACTCTTATTGACTAAAAACCACCCCGTTCCTACTCCTGTACTTCGAGTCGAAATTATCATGGTTGTTGAAGATACTGGATTCAATATATTAACAACAATCTGTGACCAGGGTCCTACAAACATGGGAGCCCTGAAACTATTAAAATCATTGTCACTTCCTCCAATTAACGCAAATGACAACTATTTTACTAACTCAAATGGAAAAAAAGAATTATATTGTTTATGATGTACCTCATTTATTTAAATCGATTAGAAATAATTTCCTCAAATATGGGGAAATGTATATGTCTGGAATGAAGGCTAAATGGGAGCATTTGTTACAAGCAGAGGAAAAAAATAGAAACCTCTTATACCTCAGCAAAATCACTAAAGTGCATGTGGAGCCAAAATATAGGGCAAAAATGAAAGTAAAAATCTATGTACATGTGGTACATTTAAACATAAACATAGCTTTTGATTATCGAGTACATGGTGTCTTTTTGTTCACTCTTTATTAGGTTTTTTAGTGTAACTTGATGATTTGTTTTTTCTTTTAGATGGCCCTCAATCAACTTCAGGCATGTGTCATCGTTATAAAATATTTATTTTTGTTTTATTTAGTCCAAAAAGCAGAAAAGTGCGATTATTGGCAATTAAAAATGTTACAAAGAAGTTATCATAACTTCGGTCTTTCATTCATTCATTCGTTCACTTATTTTCGAGTTGCTCAATTAAGCCTCTTCTAAATAACACCTAGCCTAAAATGCTACAAAGTGGGTACGGGTTCCATACGAAATTACCCATTGTTCTTTATCTTTTACAAATTATACATTGTAAATTGTTTCCCAATTGGGATGATGATAGGGTATGAAAATTAAAAATCTAATTAGTCCGTAAGTTAGGTAATGAAAAAATATTAAACACGTATTTTTTTATTTTGTCGTACTTAATAAAACAATACTTGGATTAAACGAATCAAAGTTTAGGCTAAAACGTCATTTCTACGTATAAAATGTACATAGAAGTGACGACACGCGACATTTCAAATCAACATATCGTCGAAAGTATTCGTTTCTGTAAGAAAATAAAAAAATACATGTCTAATGATTTAAAATAATGTAAAAGACGGACATTAAAATAAAAATTATGCATCTACTCTATTGTTTAGTCGTATATTTCCTCCAGTGTCAAGATTGGACATTATCCTTTGATGACATTTTATTTAGTTTGCCGTGGAACAGACAGGTTGGGTTAGAAGACTATAAGCAGGACGAAGTAGAACTCAAAAACTAAAACTCTTTAGTTTAATGTTACATAAGTAACTTCAAAATAAGAGTTCTAATTAGGGTACCTACAATTAAGTAAGCTTACAGCTTACTTTACTTTGCGATACCTTGTTGTTGAGCGCGTTTATTGTAGTCAGCAGAGGCTTCCTCCTCTACAACTATGCTTTGATTTATTCGTTGGCATTGCCTTCTGATCAACAGTAGAGCGAGTTGATGGAAGATGGCATATTTTACATCATTTTTGTGCGATTCACAAATTATAAATTCTGCATCACAATTTGCCATAAATATGGTTTCAGTAAGTTTACAAATATTTAGAAAATGAAGACTTGGCAACACTTCATTTTCAAATGAATTACATGCTGCCTCGACCAGCCTGCATAAGTTTTTAGTAGGGTATGTTAATGATAATTTCTCTGGCCAAAATTCTCTTAGTTTTAAGTAATCATATGTAGGATCATTTAAGTCGGGATTTTCCATTTCTAAACATTTTATACAAATTTCACAATTAAACTTTTTTAAAATTGTTGATGATATGTACCCACTAATGTACACGATAGGCTGTTGCTCTATTTTTGATAAATCTGTTTCCATTGATTCAAACTCCTCTGGGATGCTTAATAAAGAAATATTTAGACTGGTGCTATCATTAAAAGAGTCACCCAAACCGACTTGTTGTAAAATTGTTTCAGAATTTTTTTCTTGTGACAGCTGCTGTTTGTTCTCTGGTTTTTCAAATATTTCGTTATGAAAGTCTGTTAGCAGACTTTTAAAATCTTTCTCGCAATTCGATCCCCTATTGTGAGGAGCTGTCATTCCAGATACAATTGCCGTTTTTAATGCTGATATAAAAGAATAACAAGTCGGGTTCCTGTTAGTAGGGCTGTGTTGTCTAATGACACCAAATAAATTTTCAAGAGCGTCTTGATTCAGCTGTCTTAAGTTTAAATAATGAAAACCGCAAGCGCTCAGTTCCATCCAAATATCGCGCAATGATTTTAAACTAGTTATGTAACCCTCTATACAGCGTACATTTTTAGCTTTAATTCCATTAGAATTTTTAAAAACTACGGTTTCTAATTTCGCGCGATATTCAACCCAAACATCTAGATGGTCTGTTGAAATGGATACATTTTCGCGGCGCCCTCTTTTAACATCATCTGGGCATGATGGACCATTAGTTTTGTCGAAAAGACGATCTAAGTCGTTGATAATTGTACCAGTCTGCATCATCTCTTCTTGTTTTACTGGATCATTTTGCGACTGTGCCATTAATTTTACAACTGCTGCTACTGTGTTGCTCAAAATTTGAGCAGCATATTTTACTTTCATTTTTGCCCTATATTTTGGCTCCACATGCACTTTAGTGATTTTGCTGAGGTATAAGAGGTTTCTATTTTTTTCCTCTGCTTGTAACAAATGCTCCCATTTAGCCTTCATTCCAGACATATACATTTCCCCATATTTGAGGAAATTATTTCTAATAGATTTAAATAAATGAGGTATATCATAAACAATATAAATTTTTTTTTCCATTTGAATCAGTAAAGTAGTTTTCATTTGCGTTAATTGGAGGAAGTGACAATGATTTTAATAGTTTCAGGGCTCCCATGTTTGTAGGACCCTGGTCACAGATTGTTGTTAATATATTGAATCCAGTATCTTCAACAACCATGATAATTTCTTTTATAATTGAGGCTAGTTTTTGGGAGGAAACTGTACCCTTAACAAAATAAAAAGCTATTGGCTGCTTGAACTTTGCTCGTATACCTTGCAACATAAAGACCAATGCATGGTCAGCCAGTTGAGAACCACGTTCTGCTTCCTGGCCATAGTCTTCATAACCCTCAACCTTGTCTGTACTAATATCAAAAAAGAGACGCCGTTTTATAGCAATCTCGTCAAATATTAGACCACAGTACTTGTCTTTTTGATCCTTATTTAACGAATTTTTTTTTAAATGTTCTATAACAGATTGGTTTACACCAGTAGAGACTGGTATTTTTTTTAAAACATTATGCAACGTTTTTACGCTTGGTAGTGGCATTAGCTGCTGCAGATATCGATAGGCTTTTGGTGACCTCTTAAATATAGCTAAGGCTAATATTTTATTTTTTGATGTCCAACGGCGACCGGTGGCCTTTCTTTTTTGATTTGCCAACGCCGACAGAACTATTTCTTTTAACACGCCTGACTCCAATTTGTCTAAAAGATTAGCACTACGTCTAAGTGCTGCCAGGCTGCATTTTGCTTTTTTCAGGCGCTCCATCAACTGCTTCTCCCTTAGCGTTAAATCTGTAAATAAAAGTAAAATGTTTTACAAAAGCCTTGCAAGCATTTCTCTGCACACATAATACAATTTGAAATAGCAATATAGCACAAAAATTACTAAAACCATATCGAGGATGGTTTTCAATCTTTCTATTTGTTAATAATATTCTAACATGGGATGTTCCTATATATAAAAGCTAACTTAGAAAACTAGATTTAGTTCTGTAACAAATCGGCTACAATGATTTTAATACATCTTAAGTTTCAACCCCAACCCCTTTTACGTGATTCCGTGTGTGCCCCAACGTGGCTTCGACAGCTACTGGAGGATAGAAGTGCTGATGGCTACTAGGGACCATCGTATTGTTGTTGTTCTAATGCACAGAGGATGCTGCTGCCCATTCTTTGATATATTATCTTACTAGCTGTGCTTGCGACTTCGTCCGCGTGGAATAGTGATTCACTGCTACTCCCCCGTAGGTGATAGCGTGATAATAAATGTCTATATGTTGACCCGACCTTTTAGTAATATTCATGAAAAGTATGAAATAAGTCCATGTAGTACTTTTTGAGTTCAACCTGGATATATATACAGACAAAAATTCCAAAAATCATATTTTTGGCTTCAGTATCGATTGTAGATCACACTCCAAGTATTCTTTTAAAAAATATTCAATGTACAAATTAGACTTTTCTACGTTTTTATTATATGTATAGATTAACCTTACTCAACCTTACACCCACGCTACCGAAGATATGTAATTGTGTTATTTTCTATGCATTATAGGTATATAATGATAAGGTACTTACTAGGCATTTTCTCAGGCAGATTTTCACCGGAGGAAAGGGTATGTATTTCTTCTGAAAATAAATATAAAAAGAAATAAGTAAAGTAATAAAACCGGCCTCCCTCGTAGGCTGAGTGGTCGCAAGTGCGACTGCTGAGCAAGGAGTTTCG